TTGTTAACAGTCTAGCAGTCACAGTTTTGATTGGATCATCATCAAACTTTGTCAGAATGTTTGTCTCAATGAAATACAGATCGAGTTCGAAGATGGGTTATCTCGGGTCAAAAACTAGGTCACAGGAGCTAAAAATAGAAAAAGCTTGTTAACACTCTAGAGGCTGCAGTTTTCATCCAAATATTCTGGAAATTTGTCAGGAAGGTTGTTTTGATGATATCTAGGTCAAGTTCGGAGATGGGTTATCTCGGGTCAAAAACTAGGTCACATGAGCTAAAAATAGAAAAAAGCTTGTTAACACTCTAACAAATGGGTTGTTAACAGTCTAGCAGTCACAGTTTTGATTGGATCATCATCAAACTTTGTCAGAATGTTTGTCTCAATGAAATACATATCGAGTTCGAAGATGGGTTATCTCGGGTCATAAACTAGGTCACAGGAGCTAAAAATAGAAAAAGCTTGTTAACACTCTAGAGGCTGCAGTTTTCATCCAAATATTCTGGAAATTTGTCAGGAAGGTTGTTTTGATGATATCTAGGTCAAGTTCGAAGATGGGTCATCTCCGGTCAAAAACTAGGTCACAAGAGCTAAAAATAGAAAAAGCTTGTTAACACTCTAATAATTTGGTTGTTAACAGTCTAGCAGTCACAGTTTTGATTGGATCATCATCAAACTTTGTCAGAATGTTTGTCTCAATGAAATACAGATCGAGTTCGAAGATGGGTTATCTCGGGTCAAAAACTAGGTCACAGGAGCTAAAAATAGAAAAAGCTTGTTAACACTCTAGAGGCTGCAGTTTTCATACAAATATTCTGGAAATTTGTCAGGAAGGTTGTTTTAATTATATCTAGGTCAAGTTCGAAGATGGGTCATCTCCGGTCAAAAACTAGGTCACAGGAGCTAAAAATAGAAAAAGCTTGTTAACACTCTAGTGGCTGCAGTTTTCATCCAAATATTTTGGAAATTTGTCAGGAAGGTTGTTTTGATGATATCTAGGTCAAGTTCGAAGATGGGTCATCTCCGGTCAAAAACTAGGTCACAGGAGCTAAAAATAGAAAAAGCTTGTTAACACTCTAGTGGCCGCAGTTTTCATCCAAATATTCTGGAAATTTGTCAGGAAGGTTGTTTAGATGATATCTAGGTCAAGTTTGAAGATGGCTCATGTCTGGTCAAAAAATAGGTCACAGGAGCTAAAAATAGAAAAAGCTCGTTAACACTCTAGTGGCTGCAATTTTCATCCAAATATTTTGGAAATTTGTCAGGAAGGTTGTTTTGATTTTATCTAGGTCAAGTTCGAAGATGGGTCATGTCTGGTCAAAAACTAGGTCACAGGAGCTAAAAATAGAAAAAGCTTGTTAACACTCTAGTGGCTGCAGTTCTCATCCAAATATTCTCGAAATTTGTCAGGAAGGTTGTTTTGATGATATCTAGGTCAAGTTGGAAGATGGGTCATGTCCGGTCAAAAAACTAGGTCACAGGTGCTAAAATAGAAAAAAGCTTGTTAACACTCTAGTGGCTGCAGTTTTCATCCAAATGTTTTGGAAATTTGTCAGGAAGGTTGTTTTGATGATTTTCAGGTCAAGTTCGAAGATGGGTTATCACCGGTCAAAAACTAGGTCACAGGAGCTAAAAATAGAAAAAGCTTGTTAACACTCTAGTGGCTGCAGTTTTGATTAAAATATTCTGGAAATTTGTCAGGAAAGTTGTTTTGATGATTTCTAGGTCAAGTTCGAAGATGGGTCATGTCTGGTCAAAAACTAAGTCACAGGAGCTAAAAATAGAAAAAGCTTGTTAACACTCTAATGGTTGCAGTTTTCATCCAAACATTCTGGAAATTTGTCAGAAAGGTTGTTTTGATGATTTCTAGGTCAAGTTCGAAGATGGGTCATCTCAGGTCAAAAACTAGGTCACAGGAGCTAAAAATAGAAAAAGCTTGTTAGCACTCTAATGGCTGCAGTTTTCATATAAATGTTCTGGAAATTTGTCAAGAAGGTTGTTTTGATGATATCTAAGTCAAGTTCTAAGATGGGTCATCTCCGGTCAAAAACTAGGTCACAGGAGCTAAAAATAGAAAAGCTTGTTAACACATTAGGGGCTGCAGTTTTCATCCAAATATTCTTGAAATTTGTCAGGAAGGTTGTTTTGATGATGTCTAGGTCAAGTTCGAAGATGGGTTATCTCCGGTCAAAAACTAGGTCACAGGAGCTAAACATAGAAAAAGCTTGTTAACACTCTAGTGGCTGCAGTATTGATTCAAATATTCTGGAAATTTGTCAGGAAGGTTGTTTTGATGATTTCTAGGTCAAGTTCGAAGATGGGCCATCTCAGGTCAAAAACTAGGTCACAGGAGTTAAAAATAGAAAAAGCTTGTTTACACTAGTGGCTGCAGTTTTTATTCAAATATTCAGGAAATTTGTCAAGAATGTTGTTTTGATGTTTTCTGGGTCAAGTGCTAAGATTGGTCATGTCTGGTCAAAAACTAGGTCACAGGAGCTAAAAATAGAAAAATCTTTTTAACACTCTAGTGGCTGCAGTTTTGATCCAAATTTCCTGGAAATTGGTCAGGAAGGTTGTTTTGATGATTTCTAGGTCAAGTTTGAATATGGGTCGTGTCCAGTCAAAAATTAGGTCACATTGCCCAAATATGGAAAAATCTTTATAACACACTAGAGGTCACATGTTTGACTCAGTCGCATCAAACTTGGTCATGATGCTTGTTTAAGACATTGCTTGGATGCGGTTGTGTCAGGTGAGCGATCCAGGGCCATCATGGCCCTCTTGTTTTAAAATTGTGAACATACTTTTCTTGATATCGCACAAAACACCACACGCCAATATTGTTGACAAAAGAAAATGACAAGAGACGCAAAAATGCAAAAATTAAGCAAAAATAAAGTACTGTTTACCTTTCTAAAACATTTGGGGAAAAAAGGCGAATAGACAACATAAAATTTCTCAATCATTTTTGTTTGAGGAATATTAAAAAAGCCATAATTCCTCCTAAAAGTTCAATTAAAAACAAATGCCCCTTCATGACAAAGCTTCTGTGAAATATTTTGCTGAAAACCTGGTTGCATCGCATTGCGATGTTCCTTGTTTTATCCTTTTGTCGGTAAAATTTGCTAATTTCCAATCTACTGTTGATCAAAGATATAAAATTATCACCTCGTGTCATATCTGGTAATTGTATGCACTGTACAGCGCGTGTATACATTAGTCTGATCACTATTGCGTGATAATGATCGGAAGCGTTATCGCTGATTGGCTAATCGCTTCACGGGTCGATGTGCATAGGACCGCCTACCTATAGACTGACACGCGCTGACGCATTTGTGTATTTGTGGTTGTAAACAATCGGTAATGTTTATGCGTCCCCAGGCAAAATTGAGCGTACGTGGAATCCTTGCTCTGAAATATTTGCGTCCAGCTGTAATAAACATGCGTACCGGGACGCCGAAATAAGCGTCCCCGAGAACCCTGATTTAATCCATTAACAGTTTAAAGGGAAAATAAAAATTTTGGGGGAAAAGCTTGGCTATTTACCGAGTGGAAGACGCCGACTATCGGTGTCAATTTGTATGTAAAAATAACCCCTGTGTTATGATTTGGGTAACTGTTTATAAATTCACATTTTTAAGAAAATTTACAATGGGGCACAATTCTCATGGCACTAGAGTTATTCACAATTTAAGGGAAGAAAATGCTGAAGTTAAAAGGTTCTATGGTTGCATATATTCAATTCTGATGCCTGAAAATTGTTCCAGAAAATATATTACATGCATGTATATATTTTCCATCAGTAATTCATTCGCAATTAGCCTTTTTTCCTTAAATGACTGTCATTTAACATGTGCAAAAACTATTGAAGCCTAGTAGGTGGAAAAATTGATTTTGCTTATTTGCTGGAGATTGCTTTTAATTGTTTTTTTATTCTTTTAGAGAATTATTTTGATGTTTGTGGAAAACAGATTAAAATGTAAGAATTACTTATTTCAATGTTGAATTGATAGGGATTTTTTTGGCTTATTTTATAGCCATTATTGGGTCATATTCCCAATTGAAAATACCGGTAGTTTATTCTTTTCCCAATCCACAGGAAAATATTCCCAATTAAAGTTACAAAATCAAAATATTGAATAAAAATTCTAAAATCTTGCAAATAAGGGCTTCTTCACTGTAATAGTGCTTAAATCTTTGAAGATGCCATCATAGACAGTAATGTTTGCATCCATTTAATCACTGCAAAATTTCAGTCATGCATTTTTTCCCCAACTTTTAACAAAACCCTGCTGAAATTCCCAATTCCATGGGTATGGGTCGTGTTCCCAAAATCCTGGAAGTAATCCCTGAATTGAAAGTACTTCTTCTTCCAAATGAATGTTAAAATCTTATACATTAAACTTTTTATAAAAAGAGTATCAAAGTCACAGACTTTGTACAAAGATAATCAAGCTTTATAATCCCAAGTTTTTGTGCCTAACAAAAAAAGAAAAGAAAAAGAAATGTAGGTTTTATGTAGTTTTTTTGCTGGGTTTGTGTTATGAAATAATCTTGAGTCACTTGTGTAACATTATTATTTTGTATTCTTGGTAAAGATATATAAAGTTTACTTTTCCAGATTTCTAATGTGAAAATTTGTAATTAAATAACAAAATGTTTTACCAACTTCTGAGAACCTGTGCTGATCTTGGTGTCTGAGAAATGACTCCATCCCAACCAATGGGATATAAAGGCACATTTTTATCACCTGAATTAAGTGTTAGCAAGTAATTTTGAGGAAAAAACACTGTAACATGCCATCTTTCCACTTACTTAAGCTGTAGATAAAGAAATTAATCAAATGAATGACTCTAAAATAAGTTCTTTTCTCTTTGACTTGTAACAAGTGAAAAATCTATAGACTGAGGCCGATTGTGTCTATAAATAGCTGTATGTTAATCATTACACAGTGGAAGAAGAAAAGCACTAGCTGGCAATCAATACCGGCAGACATTTTCCTGCTCTAATCATTTCTGTAGATATTTCAAGGAATAACAGTGTGAAGCTTGCATCTGCTTCTTAGATATTTTAATAAACATCTTGTAGTGAAATGCTCCATTTTTTGTGCGGATCTAAAAGAAGTGATAAGTGTAATATGTTTATTTAAAATTATTGTTAACAAGGATTTTGTCAGCCATTTTACCAGTGGTCTGTCCAGGATTTTTCAGCCCAACTAGAGGTGTTGTGTGTCCTTAATTTCATAACTGTGCTAGCAAAACTATTTGAAAGCTATTTTGAAAAGCAACACCTGATAACATATGGAATTGAAAAAGGAAATTAAAGTGAAAAATGTGAATACAGGTTATAATCTGTCTGGATTTATATTGGCTTTAGGCCAAATCTTATAATAATTGTAACATTTGTGTTGCATGTTGGAAGACAAGCACTTTTTGTTTTGAAGCTACATTTTGATGATAACTTATATTGTGTAAGGTGAGATTTTTTTGTACATTGAATTACTGCCTGCCGTTACTTTTCTATGTAAGTTATTCAGTGCACCATTAAATTAAAGAAAGTCATTATTTTCATGATGCTGTTTTTTCCATGAAAGCTTCTAATGGAATTTCTAATTAAAATAATTTATTGTATGGTTAGGTTAGCACTCCTTGGATTATATCAGCTTATATACTACAGTAACCAGGTCATATAATTGGTCATATAATCACTGGTTCTGGACACTGATAATGTTTAGTGGTTTTGTCCATGTTGGAGTCCATTGTAGTTGTTACATCTCCAATTAATACTTAAGTCCATTTTGTAGGTTAGATTTATGATGTTTCACAAAATCTAACAAAAGTTTAAGGTCATTTTATATTGCTAAAATACTTTTATGTACTTTTAAATCTTTAATTAAACTAAAACTTTGTAAAATCCCAGTAAGACTTGCACATCTTTTTGCTATCTTATTATCTGAAGCATTCTTATAAAACTAGAATAAAATCTGATCATTAAGAGTTAGAGACTTGCATAATGCAAATGTAAATACAAATGTTAAAATGAAATTGCTACTTGATATGAAAAGTTGGAAATAGTTGTGTAGTCAGTCTGTTATATACAAGTTGAGAATTACTAATTTTATTTCTGAGCTGTACAGATAAATGTAGTTTATCATATTTCCTTATTTTGTTTTTACATGAAGAATTACAGACAATATTCACATTTTTTAAATGTGATCAATATATTGATGTTAAGACTGAGTTTCAGTTCTGACAAAACATCAATAATACAAGCTGTGACTAGTTGTTGTCTAGCTCAGTGAACAGCTTATTCATATTGGCTACTTGCATATCAATTGATTCAATATCATATGATAAATACTTGGTCTTCTTTATTGTATGAATGTATAGTATGTTCATTAAATGAAACCTGTTTATAGATAGTACTTACCAAAATAATTACTGTTACTAAGACTAATTATAACCTTTACTATTCTATCATGATCAGATTGTTTGGCAGTAATATAAATGAAAGTTTTGTTGCGAAATTCAGCACAAGTACTGTCTTCTTCTATATTAAAAGGCCTGATTACTTTAATTAATTCATCAATCGGCTAATATTTATAATAACCTGAGACTTAGTAGTTCTACCAAACTTGTTTTAGATGTAAACAAAAACAGAGATATGTATACCCAATGTTTGACATCCAAAGGAAAAAGGTCTATTGCAGTAAAAGTATGATTGAAAATATTTCTGATAATCATAAATGATAATCTAAAAATGCCCACTGATGTACAATTATAGCAAAAAACAAATTGATGTCAACATGTAGACATTTTGTAATTTCAGTTTTTACAACCATAATGATAAGTATATAAATAATATACATCTATAAATTAACTTTATTTAGGTGGACTTTTACTTGATATATTTGAAAAAAATTAGTCAGTAACACTCGGCATTAAAATTACTATTCATTGACATGTTTAGTTTCTTAGCATAGGTTAGACCTAAATACTGTAACTGTTCAATGTATTCTTACTATTGTGTTCAAAGTCCTTATCGGAAGTTTGACAGAAAGGTCCGAGAAGATGCAATTGTTAATTTATCTTACTTCCACTTTCAGAGGAGTTTTCCCCCTTGTTTAAGCCTGTCAAGATGACGAGTACTGAGTTAGATGCTCTTCGACAGGAAACAGAACAACTCAAAAACCAAATTAGGGTGAGTTTGGTTGATACTTTTAGCTTGATATTCGTATAGTTAATCAAAATACTTAAGGAAGTTAAGGTTATATTCTATGTTAAAATTTTTGACTGGTAATCTGACTTTAGTATGAGTTAATGTAATAACCTAGATAGACGTTTAAGTTTAGTTGATAAACTTTTTTCCTGCATATTTAAAACCATCATGAAAGTGTAGGATAATATATTAATATTATTATTATGACACTTAGTTTCTGTTTGTCAGGATCACATATGTGTCAGTCACAAAACTTTTGTGTTGGATTTGGGTTTATTATATATCGTGCGACTTTGCAAAGACCTATTATTATTATTATTCAATTATGATATATGTTCTTGACTTTGTTACTTTTTTGGGGGGTTGCATAGATGAGCATAGGGTCAAGGAGTTCATTATTTTTATAAGACATTTTTGGAAGAAGTGGTTGGTTTTTAAAATTGGTTTTGGAAGATAAAGTAAATAAATTAAAGATGTCTGGTGCATAAATTTAGCACTTGCAAACTAGCGTCCAAGTAACTTTTCTTTACTTTTGCTAGTGTAGCAGATAGTTAATGAATATAAATTGATATAAATTTAAATTTAACTTGGTCATCAGATCAGTGAGCGCATTACTAATCTGATGTATAAACCCATTGCCAGATCTACACACTTTTTAAACCCATTAACCCATTACCAGATACACATGCCTTTTAACGCCTTTTTCACCCCTCCCCTTTTTGTTGTCTCAAATGGTGAAAAAATGCCTTATTTAGGTCCCCAACACTTAGGCCCCCTATTTAAAAGATACATCAGGGGGTTGCCAGAAGGGGGATGTGCCTCCTTCTGTTTTGGGGTTTGAAGGGGGGCTAACATCGCCAAGAAAATTTTGGAATTGTGAGAGGCTAAAAATGACCCCAGGTCGATCATAAGGTAACATGTCACAATTGTAATATATAAACAAAGGTTGTTTCAGTTTTTTTATTCACTTATATCAGGATGTTTGTAAAAGTAAAACTTGCTTAAGCTTGATCATGAAGCTTGACAGTATTAAAAGCTGCATTTTTTTGAAATTGGGAGTAATATTAATGAAGATTTCATTTACAAAGAGCACACAGGCAAACCCAGTCTTCCCTATGAGCCTCTAAATTATTAATTATTATATTCAGTTATGAACAAAGACTATACTTTCAAGCTTTCAAGATCACTTGTAACTAATAGAAGAAGATCTCAAACAAAATTTTAACTTTAATTTAAAATTTTAGATTTCCCCATCAATGTTTATAGTAGGAATTATTTAAAATCAAGGACTATGACTCCTGTCATTTGAGGACGTTATCAAGAAGGTTGACTTTTCTATCCAAGTGTCTGGTTTTGCTTGAAGTAATGCACTGCAGGGTATCTGGTCATCATTATGAAGATAATAGAAGCTCTTGGAACCTATCCATTAGTCTGCTAGTTTCTTTACCAAAATTTAATACATAGATTGCATTACAATATTTGTTGTTGATTTTGAAACTGACATATTGCAAAATGACTTGAGAAATATAACATGGTCTATTTTCGGAGCAAAATACTTAATTACATGGTTTCACACTGTAAAACACATTTGGTCTGGTTATAATTATAGCAGAATATTTCCATATAAGTATGCACATTCAGGTTTTCTTTCCATAATTCTTCAGGCTGACTATCACTGAAATAGATTTATCATTATAATTAATCTCTCTGTTACTTCTTTTATATCTTACATAAGTTTAAGAAATCTGTACTTGTGTTCTCAAATTTTAAGGTCCTTTGTATTTTAAAAAAGCATAATATTGGATAATGAGACGACTATGTGTGTTGTAAAGTCATTGTACAGTCAAAATCAATATTAACAGGAGCATATTTCCAATATTACCATGGTTACACAGTGACTACGATGTTTCATACAAAACCAATATAATAGTGCCTTATTGGAGACTGGAGAAAGAACCATAGAATTTCTGATTCTTTCAAAATGAAATTCAGATTGATAAATATCTAGTAATAATATATGGCAGGGTTGTCATGAAAATATAGTAAACAATATATGGCTGGGTTGTCTTGAAAATATATTGAACAATATATTGCAGGGTTGTCATGAAAATATGTCCAAGAAGAGGGCTGAATAGCATTTTTAGAATGCTGATGTATCGCACACTCTTGCCATAATAAGTATCTAACTAGTTACCAGCTGCAGACCTCATGAACAATTGTATATTAGTTTTGTACTGATGTTCTTCTTAATATCTTCAAACATCTTCACATGTTCATTTCCAAGCCCTACATACTGTGAAATAACACAATGAAGCCACATAGTTTCAGACAAAAGCTTAATATTGTTAATTGGGTTTATATGCTGTAGAGATTTTGCAGTTACTTTTCTTGCCCTCTGGCAGAGATGATAGTCATAAAAGGGCAACTATTGATGGAGTGGGCGAGAATAGGAATACTTGTTATGGCCACCTTACATTTGCTTAATCTTGTTGCTTAAACAACTTCACAGATAAAATAGTAAATGGAGCTCTAGTTTTTAAGGTCAGCAAAAAAAAAATTAGCAAAGGTAATGTGATCTCTTTCAGATAGAAATATTTTAGTAATGATACCACAATATATAAATATTCATGTTAACTGATTGCAGGAAGCAAGAAAAGCGGCAGCAGACACTACTTTATTACAAGCCACAGCAAATGTTGAACCACTTAGTCGAATACAGATGCGCACCCGACGCACACTCCGGGGCCATCTTGCTAAAATATATGCCATGCACTGGGCATCAGATTCAAGGTATGTTCCTTTTATATAAAGTGTTGTTGCACAATAACTATAATCTGAAAATATTATTTTAAGTTGCATAAAGTAGTACTTTGTTACTGGTAAAGAAATCAATTTTCCAAAAAGAAAAAAGAAAAAAAGAGTCTAAAACATTTGGTTCTTGCATTAATGTACACCATAATAAGTGCCCCCAATTCAATTTGAAGAGGAAAAAATCTAGCCTTGTAGATTTATAATGAATAATTAAAGAGCAGTCCAAAAAATGCAAATATTTTTATTTAAAAAAAATGATAATTGACAGTCCAGTAATAAGAAAAAAATAATCCTATATTATATCTTAAATCATAATGATAAATATTGACTTTTATAATTAAATTATATCTTTGATAAACATATTGTAAAGCACATCATTTTAATGTTCAAATAAGCACACCCACCCCCCCCCCTCTTGCAGCCCCTGGGTGGGGGGGGGGTTAAATGGAAACAATATGGTAGTAATCATTAGAATATATTTCAATACTTCATTGGAATAGCTTAAAATTTGCTGGTACCAAGCAAACATAAGATGTCCTGAAAAGTTGGACACTGATCTAAATACATACTGCTGTTTTCATAACAAAAGGTTTTATTAATAGGTGTATAATATTAAAAATGTCCTGTTTATATATTCCAGAAATCTAGTATCAGCTTCACAAGATGGTAAACTCATAGTTTGGGATGGATACACAACAAATAAGGTTAGTGCTTTGTGGTTTTGTTTGATATGTACCTTTTAACTTGACTCCACCTGAATGCTGCACTTGCAGAAACATTTTCTTTTTCACAGTTAGACGAAGGGGTCTTTCACGTAATTGGGTTGTGGGGGACTCAATTTTTATTGCTAAAGGGGAAGAAAAAGCTTAAGGTTATTTGATTTTAGGGGAAAACTGCACGATTTAAAAAAGAATTCTGTTACAATTACACCTGCTGTTAAATAACCGCATATATTTTAGTATTATAGTGTGTGTGATGGAGACCTACAGACCACTTCAGAGAGTTGTTCTTGTGTGACTTGAGGTAAATAGATAGTGTTACCGCAGAATTATTGTAAAGTTTCACCATAGTGCAAGAACAACAATCTGAAGCTCTGTGGTCTTCTATTTGGAGTTCAGTGAGGTGTATTTTATATTTTATGTAGTAGAACATGTAAGAAAATATCCCTACTTTTGCCCTACATTTAAGGTCAGCCTGTTTTGATTCAAAGAAAAAGCATTTATTTTATGTGATATTATTATAAAAAAATGATGGCATAATTGAGGGAAATCTGGTATTTTATACTTTTTTTCTGTTTCCTTCAACATTAATATTATTTCATGTCCCAGTAATGCTCTTTTTCCAAGATGTACAATAGAATATTAAAATTGTGAGGACATCGTAACCTGTGTAGTAGAATGAAATATAATTAGAATGGAATTTCCCACACATTTTAGAAAATGTTCAATTTCAATTAATTTAACATGGTACAAAGCAGAGGCTGTCTATAGGGACAGCTTTCTGTCTTTCAGTCAGTTAAATTTATGAACTGGCTGATATAAGTCAACTGCTGTTTAGTCATGGTTTTGGTGAAGAATGTGCACAGGGCATTTAAGGGAAAATATACATGGGATAAGGGAAACAGCCTTTATTTGGCTGTAAAAACATTTAATTTAATCTTTTCATTAATCTTTTTCAGGTTCATGCAATTCCACTGCGTTCCAGTTGGGTGATGACTTGTGCCTATGCCCCATCAGGGGCTTATGTAGCCTGTGGTGGTTTAGATAATATCTGTTCAATCTACAGTCTTAAAACACGTGAGGGCAATGTGCGTGTGAGTAGAGAATTGCCCGGACATACAGGATACCTTTCATGTTGTAGATTTCTTGATGATAATCAGATAGTAACAAGTTCTGGAGATATGACATGGTATGTTATAATTTATTATACATTTTGTACCTATCTTCATCCTATACTCTGCAACAGTGAAGTAAATCCTCTTTACATGGTTTTTGGGACTTTACCACTTTTGCCTTCTTATTTAGGTTAAGTTTGCATACTAATAATGCCTCATAACAGTGTATATAATTTGTACTAGCTCATTTGGTTGTGATATATTTATGTTAATACATGTTTATTGGTAAGTAATATGAAAAGATTGAGCATGTGACATCACTGGACTTAAATCATTCTTTTCAAATTAAGCAAGGGCTTTGAGCCAAACTCTTTATTTATCTAAAGTAATAATATAGAAAAAATTCCATTGTCCAGTGTAATAAGATAACATTGACTTAATTTAAAAAGTAAAAGTTAAATCCACTCCATACATGTCTTGTTTTAATTTAAAAACATAAAATACATGTGTTCCCCATCTTTGTAAGTATATAAGTAGACAAAGTTATTACATATGTAAGCAGACCTTACCAGGGATTTACTTGATGCAGGATCCAGCATCAGTATACCCCTGAAAACCCTACTTGGATGCTCAAACTCGTACATCTAAATGGATGCATAAATAAGCAGTCCACAAATTCCTTTTATAAGATGTTGTAAGTAAACAGTTTAGTAAGTAGTTGGACTCCTGAATAAGTTGTTGGACACCATGAATTATTGATTGGACCCATTGTATAAGTGGTTAGGGCTCTGTTATTCCATTGGAACCCTGGAAATTAAAAGTGATGTAAATCCTTCCCTTACTTTACCAGTAACGTTTACAGAACAAACAAAAATATTTATGGATACTAAAGGTGGTGATAATACCAGTTCTACTCGGGTGCCTACTTTTGTGTGAAATAGTTCAAATAAACAGAGGGGTTCTTCTTCAACCATTAAAGCTGGTGATGCACCTTTACAGTGTGTTACTTTATCACATACCCATGCTGCTTTTGTGACTTTGTAAAATTGGTATTTCACAGCTGTGCATATATTTTGTTGTGACGTCATTTGTGTTATACAAACAAAGCGTTAAATATAGTAAGATGTACTAATTGTTAGCGTGATACTATGAAAAATGTTACTTTTTCACTTGTAACAGTTTTTAATTTGGGTTTGTGATAAATAGAATATTATATTCGTTTAAGTTCATTACTAAATTTATTGAAGGAGATGAATGAAATAATATTATGCTCGCCAGAGACTCGCATTATATCATTTTATTCAACTCGTTCAATGAATTCAGTATTAAACTTACACTCATTCAGTATCCTGTATGTAATGTCTGTCTCAAAAGAAAGGATCCATACATGAAAATAAATAGAACAGCTGTTTGTAGAAATAAGGATTTACTCCATTTGATAAACTGTCTCATTCCCCCCTTTAAATGTATATATTTAGAATTTCAACTTTCTCCAAGACTAGTATATGTAAATATATGAACTGCATTTCTTTACATATTCTTGCCGAATTTGACAAGCAGTATAAATCGTACCAAAAAAATTCTCAAGTTACATATTTCTTGCCACTTGATTTTACCAAATTTCACTGAACTTGGCCATAATGGCCCACTGTTCCCTCACCAATTGTACAGGCACTAAAAAGGGAAAGTGTTGACAGGCCTGTTCAAGTAATGGTTTATTGATTTTCAGTTTACTGCAGGCTCCAGCAGTTATTTTATGGTTTCAGATCAATAACTGATGTCATGCTTTGTATAAATGCATCATGTATGTAAGATTTTATAAATTGAATTCAGTTCTTATCATCGACATATCTGTCTACTCTTCCACACAAGTTGTTCTTTCAAATTTCCTAAAATGGAGAAGCACACTTGTATGAAATGCCATAAAATATATACAAGAAAGGGGATGACCTTTGAGGGGCGGGGATATTCTTGAGTCACTGTTGCTTTGGTTGGCAGTCTGTCTGCTCTACAAATCCTGTACACCCGGAAGATTTTTCTTCAAAACTTACTTAAGTATTCACTTTAAAAATTATGGTAAATAGAATTACAATAAATATATGGCATAGAGATGATAAGGAATTAGTCACTCTTGTGTCAACACTTATATGAATAAAAGAGGCGTGTCTTGGATAGAATGTAGATTATTTAGATTGAGAAAAAAACTCTGCATATTTAATATAAATCCATGACATTTATAAAATTGTTATAAAATCTTAAGTTAAAATTTCTTTTCTTTTTTGTACTTCAGTGCTCTATGGGATATAGAAACTGGTCAACAAACAACAGCTTATCTTGGTCATACCGGAGATGTAATGAGCCTGTCATTAGCTCCAGACATGAGGACCTTTGTATCAGGGGCCTGTGATGCTTCAGCTAAGGTATTTTTTTATCACCACAAATATTGATATAATCACTGTAAAGTAACAAAATTGCTGTCATTGATAGGAAGCTGGTAGTGTATTGCTATAATTAACTAGCTATATTTGTTTTAAAGTAAAGTAGCTGTTTTGCCCAATTTCACAGGACAGCTGATATTCATTGGTTATAATGATGAAAAAGGAGAAAGTTAGTTTCTTGTTTGTTTTCCTAGATTTTAATGCCTATTTTAACATACGCATTTGGTCTTATCTTGGAAATCAATCCTCCTGGATAGCTAACCAGTGCTAACCAATTTCTCTGCAAGTGAATGACTGCTAATCCCACATGATGACTGAATCAGAAGGGATAAACAAATAAACATTAGACTCAATGTCCAAGATTATTTGTCACTGACATATCGGCCAGGATTGAGCCAGAGGTCTCGTATTCAATGCTCTGCCTATTAAGCTATGCAGACTTACTAGGGAAAAAGGAGATAGAGGATGAAAATGGAATGTAACTTTGGAATGTGAATTATGCTTTAAACTAGCAATACAAAATGTTATATTCAGTTTCATACTGTGTTAATAGATTTGTTTGGATTTCTTTGTCATTTGTTTGTACAGGCTGAAGCTGTTTATTTTTAAATTTTATTCAATTGATATTAAATAGAGCTTAGAAGAGTTTAGCACAATTATTATGTAAAGAAAGCTGTTAATTTTGAAGAAAAGGACTGATGGTATTTCAAGTTTTATGTAGTTGACATGTACAGTACAGTTAAATATTTTAATTTGTCTTTGTGTCAACATTTATGGGTCACATATGTTTAAAAGCTCCTTAGAAGACTAAGGCAGCTATATTAGACTTGAAGAGTGAGAAGTGTGTGTAAGTATTGGCTATTTTAACTTTATATGTGTAACTATATTTCAGTTGTGGGATATCAGAGATGGTATGTGCAAACAGACTTTTTCTGGACATGAATCTGATATTAATGCTATTACAGTAAGTAGATAAATCTGTTACTGAAGATTATTGTCCTTCTTAATTGTTGCAGTATGTCTGTAATATATTGTAAATTACAACCAATACTTTGTTCACTCACCGGGTTTTTCTCACTTGAACATTGTCACTTTTTGTTTCAAGGATATACTTCTAGTCAAATGTCTGATATCATGATTTGATGTTTATTTCTTTGACGGGAATTTAAAGGGCTATTTGGCTAGAAAACAAAAGGCTTGGTGCATTATTAATTGAAGAATGTAAAAAAATGAATATTTATTAAAACACAACCATAGATTAATGTATGAAAAAGAAATAAAAAAAACTTTCCCAAGTAAACTTAACTAACTATTTTCGTAACAGTCAACATCATTTTACATAAACATCATTCTTAACGTGAAATTTAAGTCATTTTGCTTCATTTTCACAAGAAAAAAATGCTGTTAGAGCTAACTGTTTACCTCGGAACTTGCAAAATGCTAAATATCGAGTATCACTTTATAATGAACTTGCAGTTACTCTTACAAAGCCTTCACAGCTTTGATATATAAGATTTCCAAGTATGAGCAAAATGTAATTGTTGATAAGCAATCTTAAGTTGGTTCCCTTCAGCTATTGTCTTTTACTGGATCAAGTATTGATGTCTTTTATGATCTGATCAACGTAATTGCTAACTCTCCCTGTTGCTTCTATTTCCATCTATATAGAGAGAAAAAACTCAGTCCTCAGTCTGCTATAGTGGTAAAACAGAATTTATTATACTTATTGATTATTGGCCCATGTGATTGTTAAGTTGGCGGCTTAATCAATAATAGCAACTCCCTTTGCTGCACTGTTCTCTATACATATGCCTATATGTTTATCAGTGTGCAAGTGTATAGAATAATTTTTTAGTTGGAATTAAGCAGATATAACCTGGTGTTATAGCGAATGCTGCACTTGATAAAAAACATTTATAATAATTTCAGTCAATTTATGTCTCATGCTTGAATTATTTGTCATATAATGCTAGATCAGTTTTTCCCATGACAATTTTGATACTTTCAGGGCCTTTCACAGTTATTTTAGGAAAGGATCCAGGCTTAAATAGGGACAAATCGTGGCATTTCATTAATTAAAAGAAATCTTTATAACTAAAATAAAAGTCTGAAATAATGTTAAATTGCATATACTCATTTGCATTTAAATCAGTATTACAAGTTGGTTTATCGCAGAAAGTTGGTCATTTAGAAGATGTCAGTAGATCAGTGTCATTTTATGAAGATAACATTAAACTTCGGTTAAAGTAATAAAAGAAATATGTTTAAAATCTGTCATCCTATAGTAATTTGTAGATTGTCATGCTAATTTATATATAGTATATGTATGATAATGTGTAATTATTTTGCAGTATTTTCCTAATGGTTTTGCATTTGCAACTGGTTCTGATGATGCCACATGCAGATTATTTGATATTCGTGCTGACCAGGAGATTGGAATGTACTCGCATGACAACATAATATGTGGAATCACGTCAGTGGCCTTCTCCAAGTCTGGAAGACTTTTACTGGGAGGTTATGATGATTTCAACTGTAATGTATGGGATGTCTTGAAACAAGAACGTGCAGGTGAGTACATAAAATTGTGCTGGGTTTTCCTGGCTATGCCATTTAAAGCAGACTCCACTTTACTTTTGGACCTTTGCCTTGTTTGGACATTTTCTTCATCTACCTCCCATTGTTGATTGGGCCATGCAAAGTCAACTCTTGGGGGAAACAGTTTTAAATATTTAAGAACTAAGTTCATGATGTAATATATCTGAGTAAGTTGTTACGAGAAGTTGCAGATCTATTCCATTTACTTTTACACCAAACATTAAATGTAATCAATAAATGCTTTTTGAATACATATCTTGAATTCTTTGCAGCAAGGATTACCAAATTTAAAAGTTTAAATTTAAGTCAATATAAATGTAGTTATAATTGATAATAATGATGATATTTGATTATTGTAGGTGTGCTTGCTGGCCACGATAATAGAGTTAGCTGTCTTGGAGTAACAGAAGATGGAATGGCTGTTGCCACAGGATCTTGGGATAGTTTTCTGAAGATCTGGAATTGAAGCTGTTGTGTTGCTAAATATAGACTGAATATATAAAACACAAGCCTCAATTCTGTTTGTATAGTATGATGTATGTAACTACACCATTATACTGGCATAGTCACTAGTGCAGCAGTGCTGGTGATATCTGCTACTGACTGTGAACTATGAGATAAAACATTGGATTATGTAAGGACCCTCTCACAATTATTTATATCAACATTTACACTTTTTTCTGTTACGAAGCCTGCAACTTATATAGCTGCCAGATGTGTTGACATGGACAATACCATTACAGCTGTAGGGGACTATAGTGACCAGTAAATCTAGCCGAAATCTCTTTATAAAACAAGTTTGCATGTCTTAAATCTCCTAGTTGTATACGTGTGTGCAATGTAGTAACTGGTCATAGTGTACAAGTTTTGTCAATTTGATATATTCATATACATGTATCATCTTTTATAGAAGGTCCTGTGCTTTTTAAAATATATATATATGAATATTGATTTATATTGAAGTAAGGTACTAATGGGTTCACAAGTACTTTTGAGTACTAAGTTCATCTTGTATACGTTTTCATATTATAACATTTTTACATGTCTTTTGTAGCTATCTTTATATGTTACAGAAGGCCTCTTGATTATTTATTGATAAATGTGTTTAAAATAGTTGTGAATGCCAGAAAAAAAAATTGCTTAGAAGTGCTTGATTATTTGAAAATATATTAAGTAGTGTATATGTAATGGCCAAGATTTGAAGTAACAGGGTGTAACATCATAATTGCTAGATAATATTAGAAAGCTTATTTATTTTGAGGTCTATGGTTCATTTGTCATGTGGTAAGAACAATGAAATTTCTGGCATTTTTAAATGACTAGTTAATATAAACCATTTTATACTTGTGGTTATACTCTCTTCTCTATGTGTGTGTGTATATATATATATCTTTAGATATATATAATTAAATGTGTGTGTATGTGTCTGCATGAATTGTTTACTAAAGAAAAAGGTTTTATGCCATTGATTCTAGTCTATTGAAATGTCAACTATAGAGGAAAGTAATGATGGAGGATTTTTTTATCAGAAGTTCCAGAGAGCAATGAAAAGTATATATAAAGTGTTGAGATTAGACCGTGGACCAAGTTCAAGCCTTGAAACAACACTGCTATTTGATGTGTAAATGATGTAAGAGTTGAGTAGTATGTTATTAGTGTTGTAACTGTTTTCTGGCCCTTCTCTCATACCTCTTAGCTTCTCATTTATACATTGTTTACTTCGTGCAACTAGCAAAACTTTGCTGTTCCTTTATATGCATTTAATACATCACCGCTTTTTTCATGAATATTGTTTAAGTTACCTTTGTTTATTTGTTTTCTGCCAAATTGTCATTGTTTTTCTCGGTAACACTGGACGAAATAATGAGTTTGCAGTACTAACAATGTGCACATTACTTTTTATTTAAAAACATGTTCTTAAATGTTCTTTACATTGGAATGAAAAGCAACTTTATTTAGACAAAATTAGAAGTAATGCATGAATTTAAATGAATTGATTATGTGTTAGTATATATAAGCTGGTAAATTTACTGGCGGATTTCGTCAACAAAACATCTGTTTTGTGAATGTTTATTTTATACATATTTAGTATAATATCAGATTTCATAATAGTGAACAAATTTTTACATGTTAATTTCACTGAATTATATCTATAAAATAGAAGTTTTTTTTTTAATTTTTGGTAAGATGTTAATACATTTGTGAGCAGACCAAACTAATTGACAAGTTGGGGAATAGTGAACAACTGGCAGTAAACATTGATGACAAAATAGTGTTTGTTTTTACCTTAAAGCCAGCCTTGTTGGAAAATTTACTAATTATATAACTGGATTATGAATATTTTATATCTTTAACTTTAATAGATGTCACATTATAGAGTTGTGTAAGAAATGTAAGATCGGAGAAAGTTGTCAATAGTTTGGTAAAGAAGCTGTTCCACAGATATGTTAGCATTTTATATGTGTTTTTGTATAGAACTATATAGTCTGGCTATTTATTTCTTGGATGGGTGAATTGTAACAGATACAATATGTATTAGATGTGTTATTGTCCTAGCTATTTGATTTCTTGCTAGATTATACTGATCCAGTCAGCACATCATGCTGTTGATAGAAAATTGCCCACTTCGTCACTTACACACATTTTATATGTTTTTATCGGTAATAAAAAACAACATATCCTCCATAAAGGTTAAAAAAAACAAAACCTGTGACATTAACTTCACTTTATTGTGCAGATTTTTATTGTAATTTGGCATTCTGGTTTGCTTAAATTTTTTAAATATTCTTCAGTAAATCCATTTAGAAAGTAACAATGAAAAATGAAGTGGGCATTGTCAGTATTTTGTACATAAATATTCACTTGTAAAATTTTATATTAAGTGCAATCATATGGTGGTGTAATGTCTAGTGATGTATGTAGTACTCCTTCTGATAATTCCTAACATTATTAACCAACAAACAATATATACATGTGAAAATGTCTCTAAAAGTTCCATCCTATTTCCAAAACCATCTTGATTTCAAATAGTGCTAGCCAGAAATGAACTGTTCAATTTGGAATTAAAAATATCAAAATTTTTGTCTGAAAAAAAAAATTCAGAAGACCTACATAAGCAGAAAATATTGTTAATATCGGATTTTTACCATGGTAACAGTTATATGGGTGCATGATAGACAATTGTATAACTGTACAAAGTACTCCTGTGTTTAACTGTATATGTTTTGTAACTTTACACAGCTGATTTAAACTAATTCTAGATAATTTGGATTTTGGATTTTCCTGTTAAAAATGTACTACTATTATAAATGGAGTAAAATATACTTAATGATTTATTAAAATGCTTTAAAAAACTACATTGTAAGGGTAATACTTTGTAACATAAGTCAAACATTTATAAAGAATACTATAGATTTGTTGTATGTATTTATGCTCAATCTCTTAAAAGGAGATATTTTACAACTTGGCATCAGTGATCAGCCTTTTGTTTTAACTAGAGTGAACGCTTATATACGTGTATATGTATCTGTTACTTTCATTTGTCAATAAAGCTACATGTCTAAATACAGACTTGTCTTTTTTAATGCATTAAAACATTTAAGAACAGGACAATACACAGTATGAGTCACAGCTGTAGGGCTAGAAAGTCTTTAAAGACAAGACTATTGACTACAGCTATCCAGTACTATGCGTCGCAAGGAAATGTATTATGTGTACATTAAAAAGGCTAGGTTATAGACTTGATGTATATCATGAAGTTGAAGTTGCAGACTAGATCTATATGATGAGGACGAGGCTATCCACTAGGTGTATTTCAGTAGAGTTGGGCTACAGCAAAAATAAGTCTAGACTTTGGGTACATGTACATCTTCAGGGGATGTAAGACCATTACATAGAGATGATAAATTTGTGAGCTAAAAGAGACCTAGTCAAGGCTTTACACTATGCGTGCGAAAGAAAAGATGTACAATTAGATGTTAGAAACTGTTTACTATATAAAGGTTTACTGAAAATTACACTTGTTTCCCGTTTTAGTAAAGAAAATTATATTAAGATTATAATAATTAAACCACCATTTTAATTATCTCCCTTATATGTCTTGAATTATTTAAGCATGCTGGTAGACCATCTAATATACCATGAATTGATTCTCCTGGCGACTTGTGTAAGCATTTTATGCACCCCCTTGTTCACTCCAACACCAAAACAAAGAATACAACCCTGTGAAGTTAATCACTGTGACATCAATTTTTGCCTAGTCATTTACTACGCAGAAAATTGGAATGGTCGATTTAATTATCTAACAAGTTCCAATGGCTTTTAACCTTTCACACTATCGGTAACTAAGACAAATGCACTTTAAAAATTGGTATACATGTATTTGACGGGTCACATTTGACTCATATTGGGTAGGTTTGGTATATGTTAAGCCCAGCATGTACAAAAAAAGATTTATGCTTTAATATCAATATAAAGGCATTTATTACAAATTAATAACTGCAGCATTCATTTTTCCATTTATCTCTGATTATATTCTAATCTATTTTTGGCAAGTTGGTACATGTTTATGATACTGGTGACAGGGCTTGGTCTGTAAACTAATGTTGTTAATGCCACTACGTAATGAACCACTTGTTCAAAATGTGTGTGTTTTTTTTTCTTCTACAAAACAACTTGTTTTACTGTAAAAAATAGGGCGTCACCGTGAAACTTGATTGTCAGGTTTTGAAAGCCTAGTCCTATCACGAAACTTAAACTTAATAATTCTCGCAGACTTCTCGCAAATGTGACAATAATTTTACTGGTTCAAAAATTAGGCTAAATTCCAATGAAATGATTGACACTGGGCAAATATACTCCCTCACACACGAGCAATAAACTATCACCGCAGCCTTCTTGTCAGTTTATTAGTCTTATAATATTTTTTTTAAATATACTGTATAGGAATAATTATAATGAAATTGTTTGGGCAGGGTTTCAAAGAAAGTGTAAGAATCAAGGAGTGATCTTTGGATGAATCACTATACGTCTTAAATGTAACACAACCATTGCTGGTACATGTTAGTGGATAAATCAATAATAACAGTCTAGTTTGTAGTTGCCATAGAAACTGTTTGTCTAGGATCAAATTTAATAGCGTGAAAACCATTATCCACAGTGAAAACATTTCTACAATATATCTGTAAAATGTAGAGTATATTTTATACGCCCGAAAACCTTCGTATTATGGTATGGCGTTGTCCATACCTCTGTCCGTCTGTCCGTAGACAATTGGTTTCCGCAGTGCAACCTTTGAGAAATTTCAGCGATTGTGTTTATATTGTTATATCAAAACTAAGGTCAACTACAATCAACTCATTATATTAATAGAGTAATGCCTCTTTTTAAGCAATATTTAAGGAAATTTATTAGTTTCCGCAGCATAACTTTTGAAGGATTCCAGTGATTGTAATTATTTTATTTGGCATGTTAGTATGTTGTATCAAAACACAAAACGCTATGAACAATCAACTCATATATATTATAGAGTTATGTCCCTTTTTAAGCAATTTTTCAATTGAAATTATTGGCTTCCAATAAATAACTTTTGAAGGATGTAAGTTGTTTTGTTTATATTTGGCATGTAAGTATGGAATATCAAAACACATATCAAGTTCTATTTTCGCTGTAATCAACTCATTAATAATAGAATTATGTCCCCTTTTAAGCAATTTAATTTTCAATTGAAATTATTGGTTCCCATAGATAACTTTTGAATGATTTAATTAAGTGATTATGTTTACATATGACATGTAAGTATGTTATATCAAACCACATATCAAGTTCTATTTTCGCTGTAATCAACTCATTTATAATACGAGGGTTGTCCCAAAATGTCGTAGACTACATTATTTTCTCTTCAACCTGACGTCATAACTTAATTAAATTTACCAGATATCTTCCTTGGTCATTTGTTAATTTACCTACTTAAAATCAATAGCCAATATATTAGGTAACGCTTTTTATCAGGGTTTTATATTAAATTTTATATTATGTTACAGTACAGCATACCCGGAGCACGATAAAATATTAGTCAGTGTTGAGAGCATGCTTCTTAAAATAATGCCTTTAACTTCTAGCATAATAATAATTATGGGAAATACATTCATGTGGAATTACGTCATTCATTTTTACGTCATATCACCATCAGACGTTTATGTAACGTTAATTTGAAAAAGTCTGTAGCGTAATACTTAACAGCAGTGCTATTTTGAAATTGCCCAAAATGGCGACGTCAGATGAAAATGCGGCGCAACGCAATGCCATTGAATACTGTGTTAGGTTGAAGAAGCGTCAAGCGTTAATTGACAACATGGAGAACATTATATTTTATCAAGATAATGCACCTTGCCATAGATTTCAGGAGACACAGATTGAACTTGATGTGATAGGTTTTCAGAGACTTCCGTATGCCCTAAGACTTTGCAGTGTTTCCTTATTTGAAATCACAATTACGAGGTCACAGGTTCGAAAACTTAAGCGAACTCCGCCATGAAACTCAACTCTGCGACTTTTGAGTACATTGAAGCAGGATTGTTTTGAAAACGTTTATGATAAATGGGTCGCCCCACACTGGCAGCGCATCGCAAAACACGATGAATATATTATATACTTTGAAAAACATTTTTAAAAATCTTATAACGTCATGACGTTTATGACGGCGTGCGCCGCGTTTGTATCTGTAGCATTCTTTAAATTTTGATAACTTGGTCAATTTTGGAGGTATTTTGATTGTATTTCGCATAGACACACATAAAAGGTATATTGACTTTTCCCTAGCTGGAGGACTGCGCCACTCGTGAAATATACCTTTTGGTGCTCACTCGGTGAAATATATTCCGATCTTACACTGAACTAAACAAATATCCTCTATATAATTGATTGAGTAACAGACTTTGTCTACGATATTTTGGGACAACCCTCGTAGAATTATGTCCCCTTTTAAGCAATTTTTCAATTGAAATTATTGGTTCCCACAGATAAACTTTTGAATGATTTAATTAAGTGATTATGTTTATATTTGGCATGTCAGTATGTTATATCAAACCACAGATCAAGGTCTATTTTCGTTGCAATCAACTCATTAATAATAGAGTTATGACCCCTTTTAAAGCAATTTTTCAAGTGAAATTATGGGTTTTAACAAAATAACCTTTTAATGATTTAGGTGATTATGTTTATATTTGGCAAGTAAGTATGTTATATCAAACCACAGATCAAATTCAGAATCAGAATCAACTCATTATTGATAGAGTTATGCTCTCTTTAAAGCATTTTTTTTTCAATCAGCAGAATTTCTTCAAGTATTCTGTTTATAAATACATGTATTTGGCATGTAAACCATTGCTTTAAAAGTGCGTGATTTTTTGTTTAGAACATGTTTTGGATCTAAATCGTTTTGTTCCTATATAAAGGTATCATGAACTGATTTTTCCAAAGATTTTCCCAGATTCGGTGAGATAGTACCTTTAACAGCCTCATAACTTTTGTGACATTGCCTTATGGTGCATACATGTATACCATACCTGCTGTACAATATAGTGGCTATAGTAACGATCATTTTGTCCAAAATTTTGGAAAAAAATACAACATCTTCATTTTGTTATTGCATCCACTAATTCCGTAATATGAGCTCGTGGAGTCATTATGAAAATGATGGTAAATCGTTCTTTGCGGTGCAATATTATAAAAAAGCCAGTTCCATCGTGGGGGAAATTGCTTTATTATATACTTACAAATGAAATATTGATGAAATAAAATGCGTATTTTCATTTTCCGTATTTTCACTGTAAAAATTTATTTTTCACTGCAGTGAAGCATATTTTCCGTATTTTCACTGGTGTCTTGCCGGACTACTTTCTTTTAAATTCTGCCAGTACACAAAATTTAAGGGATAGTCTTTCAAATTTTAATGTCAAAAAAGAGAAAAATGTATATAATAAACAGAAAATTCAAGTTTTTTCTATGAATACATGATTTATTTTCATCTTGTGGCATGAAAATTACCATATTTCACTCGTGGCTACCGCCACTCATGAAATATTTATTTTCATACCACTCGATGAAAATAAATCATGTATTTATAGACAAAACATGAATATCCTCTATTTATGTCATCCCTGAAAGTATGTCAAGTACCTTTGACCTTCTCTTTTTTAACTATAAATCACCCACATAAAATTATAACATAGGCGAAAATGGTGTAGGGTAGTCGGATATTTTGATAAAAAATACTTTAACTTTTCCATTAATTATAATAAACCTATATTTGATTCATCAACACCGACAGTATAACCTTGATTTTTTAATATGAAATTTAACTATAGTGGCTGTAAAAAATGATATTTGTGAGATTTTTTAATACAATAGTCTTCCTCCGATGTCTTTTTTTTTATCTAGAAATGAGAAAAAATTGGTGCTTGGTGGTGGCTCTTGTTGTTTACTTCAAGCAAAGATAATGCTTTTATCATGGTCTCAAGAAAGTATACAGAGATCAGAACTTCTGAGAAAAGGTCATAAAAAACAAAGCATACCAAGTTATTTCTCAAAAGCTTTTTATTTTTGGTGCCCTGTCATAGTTTCCAAAAATGTATTTCTTGGCTGCTGTCCATTGGTAATGAATAGACTTATTGTGATTTAATATTTTGTATGGAAGTCAGAATACTATTTTGTTTACATTTTGCTACTTTCATGACAAATAATTCAACATTACTTTCTTCAGGTGATAAGTCACGCTTTAAAACCGTTATTTCAATGTTATTAAACTCATGTTTGCCCTTTCTAAACAATAAAACTATGATTTGTTTCTTAGCCAGAATCATGATAACGTGCCTTACGTGATAACGTAAACAAGGCATCGCCCAACCAACTTATCAAATATAGTAGGTACGGGCCAGGCAAACATTTATTTCAAATCGCCCATTTTAGTCAGTTTTAACCCCAATTTATCCTATAAAACTGAGTGAGCCATTTATGCTTGATAAAGACAAAAAAAATCTGCTTAAAATCCCATTTAAGCCCCTAGAAAAGAGCTACCATAAGATGCCTAAAATTTTCATAAATGTAAGTGGCGTCCAAAACCTTTTAATCACTTGACAGACTGGCACAGTTTGCAGCCCTGACATTTTTATACCAATATTCTAGGAAAGATCTAAATGTGTAGATTGCCCTCCTTAATTAATTGTAACCAAAATTCCCACAAATGTTAGTTACAGGCACTATTGCCTGTAACAGGACCAATGTGTCCTTTGTGAAGTTTTGGAATATTGTCGAATACAGTGTACTGCCAGCTATACATTATAGACGTTGAAATATGATTTTTTTTTTCAAAACGGCTTACAATAAGCTTTTTGATATATACGAGGGTTGTCCCATGCAATACTCCGTGACAAAATTAATTAACGGCGGCGCACTTAAGATATTAATCGCATATTTAGATAATTATTAGAAACAAACATATTCTACATTTGTTGAAAATTTCACTTCAATATCTTTACAAATAACATAATGAGCAAATATTTAAGGCAGACAGTACCAAATACGCGGCGCACACCAACGTCATGACGTCATTCAAGCACCTTTCTCAAAGTACTCCCCACAAAACTCAACACACTTCCTGTGACGTTTCACCCAAGTCTCCAACACATTGTGAAAACCAATCTTTTGATAGTCCTCTGTTAAAGGATAAGGTGGCTTTCATCAAATCTTCGGTAGACACAAACCGCCGACCACGAAGCTGTTCTTTGAATTGCGGAAAGTAGGCAAAGTCAAGGGGAGCTAAGACTTAGTCAGGTGAGTAAGGTGGATGAACTACACCTCTCACAAGGCTCACAACAGTGAGTCAACCACAATGATGCTCCTGAGAGACAGAAGGATTGATGCCAGACTAATATATAATGTTCTTTAAGATCGTTCATGCAGTAATATAAATTAATAATGCTTCCTTATTTTACAACTCCTATACAAGACACTAGATACAAGCATCCCCTTTTATAGACAAACGATATAAATGATATACTCCATGTAACTACTTTATGTCCACTATTTACCCAGAAACCAACATAATGTGGATTTCTCTGCTGGTCTAGGCAAGGGATAACGAAACTGTGCCCCGATCAAGTTCTTAGCGTACATCCTGTTTTTAGCTACCAATTTTCTCACAAATCTATCTATCTTCCGTAAATGTCATGTCATACATATTTGTATTACTTTTTGTTTTCTCCTTTAATTTCTTGCACTTAAGCGCACCTGCACATAATACTCAAAAGGGCGTGATGACAGCTAGATGCTTTTAAATAATTTAGTTAACTATAACCTATGCTACAGTTTAACATATAGCGGTGTTCAACATTGTTATTTACGCATCCGGTAAATTTTAAAAGACCTATTTTTGTAATCTTAGCAATCTGTTCATTTATTGAAATTGCAAATCAATTGATTTAATTTACTGTTAAACAAGTAAACCTGATAACCACGAGTACTTGTCATTTCTTGCTAAGTTAATGGAACAAATGAGTAGAAGTTGTATTATCGGATAGGAACTGAAATCCGGATAAAAGATAATATCTTAGATTTTGGTGCATAATATATATTGTCTATAAATATTTCCATTGTCTAAAATACTTTCAATGGGAATTGTTAGATTTGTTACCATAAAACTGTACAGTATGTCATTTAAGAGAGGAAAAATAGATTAAGCCATTTGCAGATTTGTGAAACTAGCTTGTGGTTCAATGACAAGTACTGAAGTATCTCAACAAATTGTGCGCCAGGACTTTTTTTATTATATCAGGTCTAGTATATCGCCAGATAAGTGCATGATGCACACATTGGTATATGATACACAAATTAGTGTATTTAATCATACACTGATCAGTGTTTAAATATTTTGATAAATGTGTTTCTGTAAATTATTTGTTGTTTATTTATGATCATGTTTTGGCACCTGCACATAAAATTGGTAATAGTCTGTTTTATTGACAAAGAATAAACACAACTTCTGATCTTATTGTACTTTAGGATATTTTACTGTTTTTATCCACTGAAAATTTGTTACTTTCAGACTTAAATTCACTTCCAGTTCCATATTTCATATCCAGTTATTATTCTGATCAGGTATACATGGTTTAAAAAATTGATTCTTGACTGGAAAGTAAAAAAATAACCACTTCCAATTTTGGGATGCACAAATTAGTGTATCGTGCAGATTTTCAAAAAAAAAAAAAGGTGCAAGAATAACCTGAGTGTTTACATCAATATCTTTAGTTTCAGGATACTTCTATGAATATTATCTATAGTAAGTGCAGCTGCCACAATTCACACTGCTATATTATCAAAATAATGGGTTTTCAAAGATTTGCATGATAATCTGGTACACCAATTAGTGCATCATACACATACTGGTGCATCATGCACTAATTCGGCGATATACTAGACCTGTATATAGACAATTGTCAAGCGACATTTATGTAATATCATCTTGTAAAATCGGTTGCTCTTGTTGTTGAAATATTCAGTATTTGACAAATCGACAAGGATCTAAATAAAATCCCGACATTTTGACCCTAACACCAATAATTTCCTGCTATCAGATTGAATTCCAGACAAAAATAAATTAAAACATGGTAACTTAAAAAATCAAACACAGCTCCTGACTATAAAATGTAATCTGCGCCTCTAAGTGACAGATCATTGGTGATAAACAGTATCTGTCCATATCCTGTATGATAGCTGATTAAATATTGTGTTGCTAATTGACAGTGTTAATTAGCAACACAATATTTAATCAGCCATCATACAGGATATGAGTCACAGCATGGTTCAATGGGACAATGCTCCTTGTTAACCAAGTTAATCGTGCATGTTATCTAAGCATGTGTGGCTGACACACTGTGATTCAGTCTATATTTGGCAGTAGGTAGAAGATCTATGCTACATGTATCACAATGACTGTGAATATTAGAATGAATATACTACATATGCTGATGAAAATTATACAATTCAAATATTCAGTTATGAAAATAATTATACATGTAAATAAGTCAAGCATTGAGTTAGGACTTAGATGAGAAGCTCTAAAAATAGAAATTTTCAAATCCTCACCCACAATCCCTTGCGCGAGATTCATTGGCCTTGAAATTGATCAAGTATGTTAAGTACTGTATTTGATTGGAATTTTTGAACTCTTAATATGATAACTAGGCTAGATGATGTGCAATAAGCATTTGATAAAAGATATTTTGGACTCTTGGAAAAAAGATAAATTGATTACATTGGATCCAATAATCATAACATGTTGGAGCTTCGTTGGATTTATTTTATACTGTGTGAAATAAATAGTGATATCTGAAGTGTGAGTTCAAGTAAGGTCATTGCAGACAGGATATTGTTATAAACAGAGTCACTAAGGCAGGTCACACTGTATATTGGAAAGCTTCATGTGATCAAATGTATTATGTTTTAAATTTTATTTGCAGATTTTACATATTTCATCAAAATGACATCAGAGAAGTCCTCAGTTAATCCTTTAGAGCAGTTTGTATTGCTGGCTAAATCAGCAAAAGGTGCAGCAGCTGCAAGTCTTGTTACACAAGCTCTTGAGGCATCAGGTGTTTATGTGTTTGGAGAACTTCTAGAAATGCCAAATATACAAGAGGTAGGTAGAGGAAAGTTAGAGGTAACAATTTGGCATCGTGGCATTTTGGTTTTAGGATTGTTGAATGTCTGTTGTCCATTGTCAATCCACATTAAGTCTGTTACCACAAAGGAAGACATATAAATATATATAACTTTGCTATTTATTTACGGATTTGGACAAAAGTATCCTTATGACAAATCCCATATGTTGAATTAATTTGATATGACATTCACCTTTAATTGACCTTGACCATTTGAATTTTATTTTTTACCAAAAAATTATGTTTAATAAGAGTACTCTTTACTATAATATTCTTCCTTTGACTTAGAAATTAGAAAAAGTTGAGCATGGTCCGTGCAAGGCTTTTGCTAAATTAGATGCATAAAAGATATCTTTTTACACAAAATGTAGCTCACCTGAGCACATAGTGCTGCAAGGCAAGCTTTGTATAATATTATGCCCTAACACCATCTTCCAAATCATTGGGTAAAATTTGACCAAGTAATGAAGTATGAATGGTCTTAAAGTGGTATTCAACTTGGTTTCTGTCTAATTTCTAGTTAATCTTGTGGGAGCAAATATAGATTTTAAAGATCACAGGGAATTTCCCGGAAATCAATATTCCACTTTCAGTACCAGAAAATAATACGCGGAAAGTCCGATTGGGGCCAAAGGCCCCGCGAGGGCTGTAGCGCTCTTAGATAACATGTATGACGCGTATCAGTTCAAATGAAATCAAATTCAAACTAAATGAAAATTTCAAAAAAATATATATCCTATACCTAATGAGCTGTGAAAAAATCCTTAGTTAACTGGGCGCCGCCATTTTGAAATCCTTTTGAGCTAAATATAGATATCAGAGCGCTTTTAATGAGCGTCTACATAATTCAGACTATTGCTAGCAGACGCATGCTAAGTAACACTTCCGGTGAAAGAATGATGTACAAAATCAGAAAATAAACCTGCATTTCATTGATAAGAATTATAAACGATTATAAATATAAAAAGTTACTTGAAGATATCCTTTTTGATAAATTAGCACTTAAAAATAACGTTTAAATTACAATTGTGATTAGAGATTAACAAAAATGGCGGACGGGATTTTCCAAACGCCGACGCATGCGCAGAGGTCCCCTGATGATAGGTTGAACACTTCCAATTTATTCGTTTTGTTTATGGTACAAAATACCTTCAAGATAAATCTGGTTTACATTTACACTAAATATGTTAGGCTAAAATCATAATTCATAAGAGCTTTCCGCGTCATAGGTAGCACCTAATTTCATATTATTTCTTCATTCAATAATGATTTAAAGAGAGCGGTGGCCTAGTGGTTAAGGTGTCTGCCTTTCAACCCAGGTATGGGTTCGAGCCCAAATCAGGTAAAAAAAATATTTCTTAAAATGACAAAAGTACTGGTTGGTTCCAGGAAGTGGACTTGAAAGTGATTTATATAAGTTGCAAGAACTTGTTTCGCAATGGAGCTTTAATAAATATGTTTAAACCAATATGATTTAAAGGGACTTCACCAAGGTTTTTTGAAATGACCAATAAGATCATTCACTCACTCACTTATTCCAGAATAATTATTCCAATAAAATTGTGCAAAATGACCCAAAGTTGAAAAGCTTTGCAACTCAAATCGGGCTTAGAATAGCACAAAAAGACAGTTTTCAATTTTTTATTGAGTGTTTTTCTTAATTATCTTTTGCATATCTTTCTGATTTAAAGTGATCTATTTAAGAAATTCAATTTTTCTTATTTAGGCAGTTGCGTGCCAGTTTTGGACTGCAGTGGAGTTCCTTTAATAATATTGTTTATTCAGTATAACTTTATTTCATGTTAGTTTTTAATGGAACTTCTCTGTTTTATTTATACATGAATGATGTAGAAGTATATGATTCCTTTAAAGTAAGTTGGAATATTGAGAAGAATAAATTCTGTAGAACTATCATAATTTATTGATTTATGATATATTGTATTTACAGCTCTCAAGTGGAGATCATGTAAAGTTTTTTAACTTGCTGAATCTGTTTGCCTATGGAACATACAAAGATTATAAAGGTAATTATTAAAGGCACATTATGCCTCAGATACAAATAAAATTTTACTTCTTTAGGAAGTATGAATTTTATAATGTCTAATTAATGGTTTTAGAGAATATTAGATACTTGTTCCCTAAAGAAAGAAGCGATAACTATGAAAGCATTTGTCATAAAAGTAGCAAAATGTAAACAAGGTAGTATTTTCACTTCTATACAAAATACTAATTCACTATAACAGTATTTATTGACAAAAGCAACAGATGAAAAAGATGGTTCAGGTAATTGGCCAATGAGTAACTTTTTTTGTTACTATAAAAGTACAAAATGTACACCAAAATTAAAAAGTTTTTGAGAAATAAAAGTTAAAGCATTTCCAAGGCATAATTAGCCTTTAACTCAAATTTGCATAATGGACCTGCCCTGCTTCAAATTGGAACTGTTGAGAATTTCTTTATGAAAGTAATTAAATTGATCAGGTTTCACTATGAATATGTAGGCTACAGGCTCTCTCAAGTGTAACTACAATTTATGTCCATAGTATACTGTCCATAGCTCCATGCTCTTTAAATTTGCCTCTGTTTATCTATGTCAGGAACTATTTATGGTGTTTTGATTTAGCTTGGAATAAAATGAAAATATTTATATTTATCTAATATAGTAATAGCTATCTTAGACATGATTTTTTTGACATTAAATTGAATTTTCAGTCACCATCTTTGTAAATGTAATATGTTTGTATAATTTAGTGACATAGAATTTGTAATTTTATTTCTACAAAACTCATAAAGGTTGAGAATACTCACTTCAAAAATGTCCAAGTACTCATTATTTTGCAATGTGCCTTTTACCATATTGTTACAACTCTATGAATCATTTACTTAAATACAGTGTGAATAAAAACTATTAAAAGATGCTCTACTGTTATTTACTTAATTATGATTTCAGAGAAGAAATCAGAGTTACCTGAACTGAGTGCAGCCATGTTGAATAAATTAAGACATCTGACAATGGTATCTCTGGCTACAAAGACAAAGGTATATATGTATATAATATATTGTTTACATCTTGTGATTGTATCAATTTGTACATGATCACACAGCAGCCACCCATCCATACTTTGACCACAACTATTTAACCCTAAACCTGTGTATAACCAGCCAATTAGCTCAATAGGTAGAGCATTGGACTGTTAAACAGGCAACCAGGGTTTCCATTCCTGGACAGTGCAGTTCTCTTCCATTGTATTTTATTATGAAATCTTTGCTACAGTCTATCGCACTGTACCTCTGCTCTGGCATGTACAGAAGTTATCAGTTTTTTGCAGAAGTAAAGACAACTAGTACTGGTAAACTGCTTAGCAGCCTGCCCAGGAATGCTGCCGTGGTTTAACTGTGCTCTGATAAATTTAATGTGGCATACTGCAGTGATCTGGAGGGTATACTCTCAACACCACTACCACCATTGTAATGGACTTGCCATGCTTTAAATTTGGAACAGTCCATTCAAAGTTTTAGTGATTTCAGTATCACAATTACAAAACCTGGGCTATCATCAGTATAGACTGGTTAGACTGCATAATAAAGGCTGTGGTGATTGTATAATGGTGACAAATCACTTTCAAATCCTTTAGTTATAGAGGATATTTGTTTAGTTCAGTTTAAGATCGGAATATATTTCACTGAGTGAGCACCAAAAGGCGCAACCACGAGTGAAATATGAACTTTTGGTGTTAACAAGGTGAAATATATTTCGATCTTACACTAAACTAAACAAATTTTCTTTTTATTATATGCAAAAAAAATGTTTTAAAAAGACATTAAACCTAGTACTGAATGAAAAACTCGCCAAATAATAATACAACATGACATCATTTACCATGTCACGTCAGTAAGTTGGTTCCCAGTACTGTGCACGCTTGTATTTCACTGAAACAACGTAAGGGGCTTAAATTCAAAACAGTGAAATTATCAGTTTTATATCACTGATATATTTCTATAAACCACCGAAAAGCATGTAATAAAAAAGAATAATGCAGTTATCTTTATCATTGTGGTTTCAACATTGATATTGACATAATATTTGGGTGATGTTTTACATGTAACTGTATATCTCATGAATCATGCAAGTTGTTCACTGGAAATTTCACACAAATCTTGAAGATCATGGCTGTGGGTCACTTTTTAAGACCAATAATTCTAGCTCAAATTTTTACAGAATTACTAAGAAAAATCTTGGTAAGGGCTTTTGCATGCAAAATCTTTCCTCACAGCCACTGAAATTTCACATATAAATTTGCACACATGCTTATTATGTCATAATTGTTGGTAACTGATAAAGAGTTAGACATATAACTGTAATGTTGACTTTCTCTTAAATACCCAGGCTATTTTTCTGAATTTAAGCAAGCTTACTGCTAATTTAATTCTTTTGGTTTAATACAATTCTCATTGTATTCTCCTTTGACATTGCTACTCAAATTTAATAAAGTTTATATCCTATGATTTATTTTATGGTTTATTAGTAATAGTATAATTTTAGTACCATCTTCAGTCCATTCTTGTAACATGATATGTTTTATTTTCAGTGCATTCCATATAGTGTTTTATTGGAGGAGTTGGATATTCCTAACATGAGGTCCCTTGAAGTAAGATTAATTCTTATATATACATAATTATATACATTCACCTTAAAGTGACATTTTGCCCCAGAAATGCTATCAATTTTATTTCTCAAAATTTTTTAAATTTTGGTATCTTGCTTCAGATTCCAAAAATATACACATTTTCCATGTACATGAACTATATTTTGCTCTGATAGCAGTGGGTATAACTATAGTGAGTCAGTATTTTGTATGGAAGTCAAAATACTTCTTTGTTTACAGTTTGCTACCTTTATGACACATTACTGCACGATAAGTGCTACTTTCGTCAGTATTTAAACATGTAACATGCTCTGAATTCATTATTGAAACATCATCAAACATATGTTTGACATATGAGCCGCGTCATGACAAAACCAACAAAATGTGTTTGTGACTATCATGGATCCAGACCAGACTGCGGATCTGCGCAGACTGATCAAGATCCATGTTCCCTATCAATTTCTCTACTTATAATATGGTTTGTAAGTGAACAGCATGGATCCTGATCAGACTGCGTGGATGCGCAGGCTGATCTGTATCCATGCTGGGTGCAAACGCACTTTGTTTGTTTTGTCATGGCATGGCTCATATATTAAACTTTCAAAAATATGAATTTCTGAGACATAATATGTCTTTAAAGTGACAATATGCTCATTCTTTCACTGTCAAGTTCAGCTAAATTAGTTATATATTTTAAAAGATTTACTTTTATTATGGTAATTGACCAATAGTTGATTATGAAAAATGTTTAAATACTACCTGAATTATAGAAGACTGACCCACTGTATTTAAAGTTTGATTGTTACTGATACACCAAGAACAATATTTATCACATACCGGTGCCGATTTTAGCGACTCTGTAAATATGGTATTGCACGGCAGTGCATGTATTTTGACAAGATGTCATTTGCGTTATATAAACAAAGCATTAAGACATGCTAAATGTTAGCTATAGGCGCGTCCATGAAAAAGTTTTCTATTTCACTTTAAGTGGTCTTTATTTTTGATATGTGATAAATAAAGGATATTGAATGAGTGTAAGTTAATTACTAAATTTATTGAGCTCGTTGAATAAATCAATATTATGCTTGCTATAATGCTTGCATAATATTATTTTATTCAACACATTCAATAAATTCAGTAGTAAACTTACACTCATTCAATATCTTCTATTTATAGAAGGTTCAGTAGATAATATCGGTTTTTGATTATTTTTACATTGTATGATATCAAATTGAGCATAATTATGGCTTAATGTAAAGTTATTTTGACTATTACCTGTCCATGAATATTTGGTTAACTAAATTTGAACTTTAAACATTTACCTGGAAATGAATGGTAAATATTTTATGATATATTCTCTGATATCAGCAAGTAAAAGTTAACAAGTTATACCTTGGTTTTTGCAGGATTTGATAATTGAGGTGATATATGCAGATATTATACATGGAAAGTTGGATCAGAAAAACCAACAGTTAGAAGTTGATTATGCCATTGGAAGAGACATTAGGCAAGAGGCTGTACCAGAAATTATCTCTGTTTTACAAGATTGGTAAGTCCACTATAGATTCTGCAGTAAGGCTAGGTATACTTGTGCCTCATATTTCCGTGGTACCCATATTTCCAAGGTATTAGGCATAACCAGTCTCAAGTGCCTTATAGACTTCATGCACCTGCCAGGGGTTTTACTTACACTTTTTTATTTGTATTTTTATTGAAATGTAACATATACAACTGAGAAAACTTATTATTTTATTCAGATTAAGAAGAAAGTATCGTAAATTACTTCACCATTTTACTTTTAGTTTTCATACCTGTAAAGACAGTTGTCTTTGTTCAACAACCATTAAGATATTTGATAAATGCCATTGAGAAAATCCCCACTTTCAGGGCTAGGTATAGATGTATTAAAAAATAAAGATTACTTTTGGTTTTGTTTTTGAAACTGTTAAAATGTAATTGCTTTGGAAATATGAGAACAGAACTTTACTCACTAGGCTGAAGATAGCTGTTAATTGCCATGTTGTGTATATAATTGCTTACATGCAAACATTAAATGGAATTATCTATGATGTAACAGATAGTCTTTGCTACAATAATCAACATATTTTCCCGAATTTTATTCTTCTAACTTTTGTTGTCTGTGTTGAATAGTTAAGTACTACAGAAATATGAGGCACCAGTATAAGTTGAAATAGAATTAGTTGCTTCAGTTGTAAGATGCTATTTCTTCTTACATGGTATTTTAGGTCATGATATAGTAATGATTGTGAGCAGTATTAGTTGATATTAAGGTGTTATGGCTGTGAAGCATTTTCACATGTGTTTTATTGTTAATGATATGAAAGTGTTCGTGCTGTGAAGAAGTTTCACATGTGTTTCACTGTTTATGATATGATGGTGTTCTGGCTGTGAAGCAGTTCTACATGTGATTTATTGTTTATGATATGAAGGTGTTCTGGCTGTGAAGCAGTTTCACATGTGTGTTATTGTTTATGGTATGAAGGTGTTCTGGCTGTGAAGCAGTTTTACATGTGTTTTATTGTTTACGGTATTAAGGTTATCTGGTTGTGAAGCAGTTTCACATGTGTTTTATTATTTATGATATGAAGGTGTTCTGGCTGTGAAGCAGTTTTAAATGTGTTTTATTATTTTTAGCTCACCTGTCACAAAGTGACAGGGTGAGCTTTTGTGATCGCTTTTCGTCCCGCGTCCGTCCGTTCATCCGTCCGTAAACTTTTACTTTAAATGACATCTCCTCATAAGCCAATTTCATCCAAACTTCACAGGGATGTTCCTTTGGTGGTCACCTTTAAAAATTGTTCAAAGAATTTAATTCCATGCAGAACTCTGGTTGCCATGGCAACCGAAAGAAAAAACTTTAAATATCTTCTTTTAAAAAACCGTAAGAGCTAGAGCTTAGATATTTGGCATGAAACATCTTCTAGTGAGTGTCTACCAAGTTTGTTCAAATAAAAGCCCTGGGGTCAAAATTGGCTCCGCCCCCGGGGGTCATTGATTTTCCCTATATACATATAGTAAAAACTTAAAAAATCTTCTTTTAAAGAACCAAAAGAGTTAAAGCTAAGATATTTAGCATGAAACATGTTCTAATGGGTGTCTACCAAGTTTGTTCAAATAAAAGCCCTGGGGTCAAAATGGCCCCGCCCCGGGGGGTCATTGATTTTCCCTATATGCATATAGTAAAAACTTAAAAAATCTTCTTTTAAAGAACTCAAAGAGCTATGGCTAAGATATTTAGCATGAAACATGTTCTAATGGGTGTCTATGAAGTTTGTTCAAATAAAAGCCCTGGGGTCAAAATTGGCCCCGCCCCGGGGGTCATTGATTTTCCCTATATCCATATAGTAAAAACTTAAAAAATCTTCTTTTAAAGAACCAAAAGAGTTAAAGCTAAGATATTTAGCATGAAACATGTTCTAATAAGTGTCTACCAAGTTTGTTCAAATAAAAGCCCTTGGGTCAAAATTGGCCCCGCCCCGGGGGGTCATTGATTTTCCCTATATACATATAGTAAAAATGTAAAAAATCTTCTTTTAAAAAACCATAAGAGCTAGAGCTTAGATATTTGGCATGAAACATCTTCTAGTAAGTGTCTACCAAGTTTGTTCAAATAAAAGCCCTGGGGTCAAAATTGGCCCCGCCCCGGGGGGTCATTGATTTTCTCTATATGCATATAGTAAAAACTTAAGAAATCTTCTTTTATAGAACCAAAAGAGCTAGAGCTAAGATATTTAGCATGAAACATGTTCTAATGGGTGTCTACGAAGTTTGTTCAAATAAAAGCCCTGGGGTCAAAATTGGCCCCGCCCCGGGGGGTCATTGATTTTCCCTATATGCATATAGTAAAAACTTAAAAAATCTTCTTTTAAAGAACTCAAAGAGCTATGGCTAAGATATAGAGCATCAAACATGTTCTAATAGGTGTCTACCAAGTTTGTTCAAATAAAAGCCCTGGGGTCAAAATTGGCCCCACCCCAGGGGGTCATTGATTTTCCCTATATGCATATAGTAAAAACTTAAAAAATCTTCTTTTAAAGAACTCAAAGAGCTATGGCTAAGATATTTAGCATGAAACATGTTCTAATAAGTGTCTACCAAGTTTGTTCAAATAAAAGCCCTGGGGTCAAAATTGGCCCCGCCCCGGGGGATCATTGATTTTCCCTATATGCATATAGTAAAAACTTAAAAAATCTTCTTTTAAAGAACTCAAAGAGCTATGGCTAAGATATTTAGCATCAAACATGTTCTAATAGGTGTCTACCAAGTTTGTTCAAATAAAAGCCCTGGGGTCAAAATTGGCACCGCCCCGGGGGTCATTGATTTTCCTTATTTGTGTATAGCAAAAACTTAAAAATCTTCTTTGAAAAAACCCAAATAGCTAGAGTTAAGATATTAAGCATAAAACATCTTTTAGTGAGTGTCTACAAAGTTTGTTCAAATAAAAGACCTGGGGTCAAAATTGGCCCCGCCCCGGGGGTCATTGATTTTCTTTATATGTGTATAGCTAAAACTTAAAAATCTTCTTTGAAAAAACCCAAATAGCTAGAGTTTAGATATTAAGCATGAAACATCTTCTAGTGAGTGTCTACAAAGTTTGTTCAAATAAAAGCCCTGGGGTCAAAACTGGTCCGGCCCCAGGGGTGTCATTGTTTTTAACTATATGTGTATAGTAAAAACTTAAAAAAATCTTCTTTCAAAAAGCCCAATGAGCTAGAGCTTAGATGTTTAGCATGAAACATCTTCTTATGGGTGTCTACCGAGTTTGTGCAAATAAAAGCCCTTGGGTTAAATTGGCCCTGCAACGATGGGGGGGGGGGGGATGTTGGGGGGCCTTTATACAGGTGAGTGACCTCAGGGCCATCATGGCCCTCTTGTTTATATGAAGGTGTTCTGGCTGTGAAGCAGTTTCACATGTGTTTTATTGTTTACGGTATTAAGGTTATCTGGTTGTGAAGCAGTTTCACATGTGTTTTATTATTTATGATATGAAGGTGTTCTGGCTGTGAAGCAGTTTTAAATGTGTTTTATTATTTTTTATATGAAGGTGTTCTGGCTGTGAAGCAGTTTCACATGTGTTTTATTGTTTACGGTATGAAGGTGTTCTGGTTGTGAAGCAGTTTCACATGTGTTTTATTATTTATGATATGAAAGTGTTTTGGCTGTGAAGCAGTTTTAAATGTGATTTATTATTTTTTATATGAAGGTGTTCTGGCTGTGAAGCAGTTTCACATGTGTTTTTAGCTCACCTGAGCAATTGCTCAGGGTGAGCTATTAGGATCACTCTTCGTCTGTCGTATGTCGTCCGTCGTACGTTGTCCGTTCACACTTTTAAAACGACATCTCCTCTGAAACCATAAGGCAGATCATAATGAAACTTCACAGGGATGTTCCTTGTGTGAAGCCTTAACAAAGTTGTTCTAAGAATTCCATTCCATGCAGAACTCTGGTTGCCATGGCAACCAAAAGAAAAAACTTTAAATGTCTTCTTCTAAAAAACCCAAAGAGCTAGAGCTTAGATATTTGGCATGAAACATCTTCTAGTGAGTGTCTACCAAGTTTGTTCAAATAAAAGCCCTGGGGTCAAAATTCGCCATGCCCCAGGGGGTCATTGATTTTCCCTATATGCATATAGTAAAAACTTAAAAAAATTTCTTTCAAAGAATGCAAAGAGCTAGAGCTAAGATATTTAGCATGAAACATGTTCTAATGGATGTCTACCAAGTTCGTTCAAATAAGAGCCCTGGGGTCAAAATTGGCCCCGCCCCGGGGGTCATTCATTTTCCTTATATGTTTATAACAAAAACTTAAAAGATCTTTTTTGAAAAAAAAAACCAAATAGCTAGAGTTTAGATACTAAGCATGAAACATCTTCTAATGTGTCTACCAAGTTTGTTCAAATAAAAGCCCTGGGGTCAAATTTGGCCCGCCTCGGGGGTCATTCATTTTCTTTATATGTGTATGACAAGAATTTATGAAATCTTCTTTGAAAAGAAAACAAAAAATATATATGCCAAATATACAAAATACAAACACGAATTTGCAAAATTATTCTAGACCTTCCAATGAGAAAACAATCAGAAAATTTATACAAAAGATTAAAAATATTGACTTTCAAGAAAAGATGTATTTTTCACAGCGGTGTCCAAGTATATAAAGCATTGAATAATATGTCCCCTCAATATATCCGAGACTTACTTACCATATCTAATAATCAAAAGTATAATCTAAGATCGATATCTCACGGAAATTTAATTTCGTCTTACAAACCACGTACTAATTATTTTAATGACACATTCCAATTTAATGCCATGGTTATTTGGAATTCCATACCACTGACTATAAGAAGAAAAACAAAATTGCCAATATTTAAGAAATGTTTCAAGAAATACTTATTTAATCAAATTTAGCACGGTCCGTATGTCTTATATATACAGGATACGCTCTTTATATTCATACATGTGTTTTTTTATTAATTATGTTTTCTTAATAATGGGTGTCTGTCTTAGTTTCAAGTTTTTTGACTGTGTTAATTTTGTAAGTTAATTTTACTTTTTAAATTGCAGATTAAAATGATGCACTGATGGAAGTATTATGTTTAATGATAAATAAAATGAATTGTATGAATGTTCAGTATATGTGTTAATATATGTTAAAATTGTGATAACCATTTAATCATTTCTTTTTACATGTTATATTTTCTTTGATTGATATGTGTTCTTTTGTGTGTGTGTGTTTTTATTTTTAGCTCACCTGTCACAAAGTGACAGGGTGAGCTTTTGTGATCGCTTTTCGTCCGGCGTCCGTCGTCCGTCCGGCGTCCGTAAACTTTTACTTTAAATGACATCTCCTCATAAACCACAAGGCCAATTTCATCCAAACTTCACAGGAATGTTCCTTTGGTGGTCACCTTTAAAAATTGTTCAAAGAATTTAATTCCATGCAGAACTCTGGTTGCCATGGCAACCTAAAGAAAAACTTTAAATATCTTCTTTTAAAAAAACCATAAGAGCTAGAGCTTAGATATTTGGCATGAAACATCTTCTAGTGAGTGTCTACCAAGTTTGTTCAAATAAAAGCCCTGGGGTCAAAATTGGCCCCGCCCCGGGGGGTCATTGATTTTCCCTATATGCATATAGTGAAAACTTAAAAAATCTTCTTTTAAAGAACTCAAAGAGCTATGGCTAAGATATTGAGCATCAAACATGTTCTAATAGGTGTCTATCAAGTTTGTTCAAAGAAAAGCCCTGGGGTCAAAATTGGCCCCGCCCCAGGGGGTCATTGATTTTCCCTATATGCATATAGTAAAAAATTAAAAAATCTTCTTTTAAAGAACCAAAAGAGTTAGAGCTAAGATATTTAGCATGAAACATGTTCTAATAAGTGTCTACCAAGTTTGTTCAAATAAAAGCCCTGGGGTCAAAATTGACCCTGCCGGGGGGGGGGTCATTGATTTTTCCCTTATAAATGCATATAGTAAAAACTTAAAAATCTTCTTTTAAGAACTCAAAGAGCTATGGTTAAGATATTTAGCATCAAACATGTTCTAATAGGTGTCTACCAAGTTTGTTCAAATAAAAGCCCTGGGGTCAAAATTGGCCCCGCCCCGGGGGTCATTGATTTTCCTTATATGTGTATAGCGAAAACTTAAAAAATCTTTTTTGAAAAAGCCCAAATAGCTAGAGTTAAGATATTAAGCATGAAACATCTTTTAGTGAGTGTCTACAAAGTTTGTTCAAATAAAAGACCTGGGGTCAAAATTGGCCCTGCCCCGGGTCATTGATTTTCCTTATATGTGTAATAGCAAAAACTTAAAATCTTCTTTGAAAAAAACCCAAATAGCTAGAGTTTAGATATTAAGCATGAAACATATTCTAGTAAGTGTCTACAAAGTTTGTTCAAATAAAAACCCTGGGTCATAACTGGCCCGGCCCCAGGCGTGTCATTGTTTTTAACTATATGTGTATAGTAAAAACTTTAAAAAAAATCTTCTTTTAAATAGCCCAATGAGCTAGAGCTTAGATGTTTAGCATGAAACATTTTCTTATGGGTGTCTACCAAGTTTGTGCAAATAAAAGCCCTTTGGTTAAATTGGCCCTGCAATGTTTGGGGGGGGGGGGGGGGGGGGTTGGGGCGGCTTATATACAGGTGAGCGACCTCAGGGCCATCATGGCCCTCTTGTTTTATTTTTATTTTAGAAGGCCGCATTGTAAATAAGATGTTGCAATCTGTATATGTCTTAATGTGTTACCTTCGGTAAATAAAGTTATTATTATTATTATTATTATTATTATTGAAAAAACTCAAATAGCTAGAATTTAGATATTAAGCACGAAGCATCTTCTAGTGAGTGTCTACATAGTTTGTGCAAATAAAAGCCCTGGGGTCAAAATTGGCCCCGTTCCAGGGGACATTGATTTTCCTTATATGTGTATAGCAAAAAGTTAAAATTCTTCTTTGAAAAAACCTGAATAGCTAGAGTTCAGATATTAAGCATGAAACATTGTCTAGTAAGTGTCTACAAAGATTGTTCAAATAAAAGCCCTGGGGTCAAAAACTGGCCCTGCCCCAGGTGTGTGTCATTGTTTTTTAACTATATGTGTAAAGAAAAAAACTTGAAAAAAATCTTTCATTTAAAAAACCCAACAAGCTAGACCTTAGATGTTTAGCATGAAACATCTTCTAATGGGTGTCTACCAAGTTTGTTCAAATAAAAGCCCTGGGGTTTAAACTGGCCCTGCTCTGGGGGCCTATATACAGGTGAGCGACTTTAGGGCCATCATGGCCCTCTTGTATTATTTATGATATGAAGGTGTTCTGGCTTTGAAGCCATTTTACATGTGTTTTATTATTTATGATATGAAGGTGTTCTGGCTTTGAAGCCGTTTCACATGATTGTGTTTTTATTATTTATGATATGAAGGTGTTCTGGCTGTGAAGCAGTTTACATGTGTTTTTATTATTTATGATATGAAGGTGTTTCTGGCTGTGAAGCAGTTTTACAATGTGTTTTTTATTATTTATGATATAAAGGTGTTCTGGCTGTGAAGCAGTTTTACAAGGAATTAGAAACACAAATAACAAAGGCAAATCAGAACAAAGAAAACAACATGAGGCAGAAGCAGAAAATGGAACAAGAGGTAAAATAAGTTAAATGATAATAACAGTGACTCTGTCATTCATTGAAAGGGTTATTATGGTTATAACATTGTATTATATCTAACTTAATGTTGCTTTGTTTCACAAGTGCCATCATCTTATCAGATAATGATTTTTGTTAAATTTTAGGTGGGAACACGTCTTCCCAGATTTTATTGATTTTAGTTTGTAAAACATGGTATTATATATAACATTAACATCCCATAACTCATGTTGCAACTGCCCTCATCTTAAAAGATAGTGATTTACGTATTTCATAAAAATTTTGTGATTAATGATTATTAGATTTTAGCTCTTTTCCTTTGTGATATTTCAAATGTACCTGGTATAAGAAACCAGATGATGCTTCCATGATATACTATCATATGAACATATATGAAATTGTTCTGTTCGCTTTTTTCCAATTTTGTACATAGCTATTTGATATACCATTTGTATTTATGATTTCAGGTGACAAATATAAAGAAACATTAAAGAGTACACCATGCCTGATGAGGAAAGTATGGTGACAGGAATCTGTTTCTTCTGATAAACCCAGCAAAAAAATCCCTCCAAAAGCCAAGGGGTAGGTGTAACTGTCCTGTAGATGAACAAGAAAGAGAGCCCATCAAAAGTTAAGAGCTGATAGTAAATTTAAAATCAACAAAGCAATTAGCCAATCGATGCTTTTTTCCTAATTTAATATACAGCACAAAAAATCCTTCAACAGGCATGGGCTGTCAGTTTTCACAGGCATGCATGTATCAAGTAAAAACAACTTAAAAGCATTGCCATTATCCTCATATAAACATATTCATCACAAATGGAAAGCCAAGTGATGTCAATTTCTTTACATAAAGGAATAAAAAACTCAAGATTTTCCCTCTAGACTTATTATGCAAAAGGCCCTTGAAGCAATGTAAGTGCCTAAGATTTGCAATGTTCTATGTTAAGCACAAGCACCATTGAAAGTCAAGTGGTAGATGTTAGTTTCCACAGATGGATAAAGTTTTAGAATATAAAACACACATCTCTAGAACAAAAAGATAACTCAATTATCTTGGATTAGGGATAATTTCTCCTAAGATAAACCCTCATGTTTAACTTTAAAATTTATGAGATAGAGATAATGGCATTACTTTTAAACAAATTTGGTTGTTTTTTTGCTGATTTAAATGTATGGTTAGTCACATCTTAAGGTTGATCCACCTAAACAAACCACTTCCTGGATTGCTCACCAGTTACTAGCATACATGTATTTCTCAGTAATTGACTGACTAATTCAACATGATTTCTAAATCAATCAGCATTCTTATATTTGTGTTTTTCCAGTGCTTCAATGAAATCAATGAACCGTTGCTGCTTTATTTTTCCGCAGTTAGCTTTACTGTTTATGGTTTTTTTCTATCTCAGGCTATTTTTTTAATAATTTCCTCTTTTAATATGAAATTCTGCTGTTGAGCATGACATCATATTTAATGGCTCACTAGTCATATGTACATGGTGGCTCTATCTGGTTAATCATGGACTTTAATTTACATGTAATTAAAGTTTGTGGTTTTATAAAGAAATAATGTAAAGCATGTGAGAGGTGTAGATTAATGATTAAAATAATAACTAATGTTTTAATTTTATATTTACAGATTACGAGGAAGTAGTGGTACAAAGTTATGGAAATAATCACAATCTTTATACATGTATCTGTGTTAAGTGCTGTATATGCTGGGGTGTGTGGATGTGTTGATGATTATAGAATTATTTTCTCAATGGTGTATATTGTCCTTGTAGGTTAAAGTACAGCAAATTTTAATTTGCCTAATATGGTTGTACTTGTATAAATATCAGCTGTACACTTATAACAAAATAAAAACAAAATCTTCCTGTGTATAAGATTTCATGTACATAACTACTGCCAATATGTTATATATTATAAGGTAAATTGTTGTAAATTGTTGATGATAACTGTATAGTGCTAATATTGTTTCATGATACATGAAATTTATTTCCAAATATAAGTTAATGTTTCTTTAGATCTCATTATAATGGTATTCTATAAATAACTATATCCAGTCTAGATGTAACTGACTAATGGTAGGTTATATAAGTGAAATGTGTAAATTCTTGGGGGGGGGGGGGGGGGGGGGGGGGGGGGGGGGGGGGGGGGGGGGGGGGGGGGAGGGTGGGGGGGGGGGGGGAAAGATGTTACTTTATGATCAACATGTTTAGTATTCTAACTTTAAGACAAATGTTACATATAAGGGGTTTTTAAGGACCTTTCAGTATCAAAAGAAGAAAAAACACACCGCATAACTTGTAAAATGTGCAATAATGTATCAACATATCTATCTTTGAAATATTTTATAAAATGTTACATGATATATAAATAGTTAATGATAATTGTATAAGAATACTGTACTTGCAGAAAATATATAACAACAAGATAAACTTGATTATAAATAGCAAAACTGTTTAAAGTAAGATTGTTTGTGTGTTTTTTTTTTATGGACTATATTTTACAATAAATTATTTCAAGTAAAACGGTAGTCTCTTTTATGATAAGTACTAGAATAGTTCAATAGTGGAAGGCTCAGTTTACACATAATTAAACTTTTATACAATGTCTCTTCAAACTCTTCTATTTAAATTCATTGTTTTATTACCTTCATCATTTGTTTCTTACCTTGTGAATCTGAGGGTCTGAAACTTGTTTTATTTGCTGTAATTGATAATAACCTACTATTTGACTGACCTGTCTAATTCCTAGTTTCATTAACCAGGTTTTCAATGAAAAACCGGGATATTGTAAGGCCAGAGTCGTTGGGTGGCATCAACTTGGTTTCTGCTCAATAACTTTAGTTTGCTTTGGCCTATTGACACCAAACTTGATGTATGGGTAGCTTATATCAAGAGGCAGCTTAGGTCTCTGTGATCGAGGTCAAGGTCACTGGTACTAAAAATAGAAATTCAGTTTCCGCTCAATAACTTTAGGTTGCTTTGGCCTATTGACACCAAACTTGGTTTATTATCCATAAATGGGCTTGTATCAAGAGGCAGCTTGGGATTGCTACCAACATGCCTGTTATCAAGGTCACTGTTACTAAAAATACGAATGCAATTTCCGCTCAATAACTTAATTTTACTTTGCCCTATTGACACCAAACTTGGTGTATGGGTAGCTTATATCAAGAGGCAGCTTTGGATCGCTACCTAGGTATCTGTGATCAAGGTCAAGGCCACTGTTACTAAAAATAGAAATTCAGTTTCCGCTCAATAACTTGAGTGTGCTTTAATCTATTTACACCAAACTTAGTGTATGGATAGCTTATATTTGAAAGGCAGCTTGGGATTGCTACCCAGGCATCTGTTAACAAGGTCAAGGTCACTGTTACTATGTTACTAAGAAAAGAATTTCAGTTTCCGCTCAATAACTTGAGTTTGCTTTGGCCTATTGACACCAAACTTGATGTATGGGTAGCTTATATCAAGGGGCAGCTATTGATTGCTATCAAGGTTAATGTACATGTATTCAGTTTTCACGTAATAACTTTAGTTTGCTTTGACCTTTTGACACCAAACTTGCTGTGTGGCAGCTTTGGATTGCCACTTGGATATCTTGGAGCAAGGTCAAGGTCATTTGCTTACAATAGAATTTTCAGCTTCTTCTCAATAACTTCAGTGCACTTTGACCTATTGATTGCTGTCACATCAAAACTTGGTTGTTGACAACCTGGTTTTCGTCGCATTGCGACGCTTCTTGTTGTTGATATATTTAGATAAAATAATACCTCCTGATAGTGAGAGCTTGTCAAAGTTTCTACTAGCAGGTCACAATGGCTGTGTGAGCTATAAACTTATATAACATTTGCATATAGCTAAATACAACGAGTTTAAAAGCATTTACTGTGTGTCATTTGACTATTCCATCTATTACTCCTTGACAATGGAAATTGAGTTCTTGGGAAGATAATCCATCTAACTTACAAAGGTAATAATATGCTTTCTTGTGTTTAAAATTGCAGGGAGTGACAGCACTATATGTGAAGCTTGAACAAATGTGTCATTTGCAATAGGAAATGATCTTTTTGTTACTGTTTTCATGATGGCTATGGTGACGTTATGCAATTGTTTAAGCGCTATTGTGTATTAGAAAGTTTAAGAAATACATCAGAATGCCAATGGAATCATTAAGTGATAAAACATTACAGGAATGTTGACAAAGTATTCGATGTATGTATAAACTCTACACATTACATAGATTTTACATGGGATACGGATCCAAGATTGTAAGAATAAATGATTGTTAAACAATCTCAAGAAGAAAACACCCCTTAGATTAAAGGGTCATTTATTAATATCATTTAGTGCTTGATCTGGTAAAAAATCCAATTAGTTGCTTTCTGGAAACAGAGACATATAGACCTTTTTACAATACAATATTTCCATAGAAAAGCATGCACATTCTGCGTGGCAAAAAGCAATAACAAAAGAATAGATTTTATCAGTATTCAACAACTTTATTAACAATCTGATGTAATTTAAATTATAACCATAAGATTTAGAATTGTTTATTTTGATAAATAACAGATGCGATGGTGAATTGAAGTAATTAACTTGAACATTAAGTACTGCATTAACACATTAATTCAGGATTGAAAGATCCTGAATGATGCATTCGATTCTGACAAAAGAACATTTGTATACAAGTATAGAATGTTAGATCATCTTTTGCAATTTTAAAAGTGTACAGAAATGTGTCACTTGGATAATTCTTTCTTTTAGATACCTGGTAAAGGTGTTATGGACCTTTCCAGTATTTACAGTTTTATGTAAATTGGCTAACTTGTTATCCAATTGCTACACTGGGATAATACATAGTCACTGGTTGACCTGGTTTGCACAAAAGAAAAGGTGGTTATGTTGTGAGCAGTTGACCTAGCAATTGGCTAAATGTTCCGCTACGAAAAACTGGAAAGGTCCATTGCTATTAAAGCACAGAAGTCTTGAATGCGAATTTTATGGTTAATATTCTCTTTCTATTCTCTTAATAAATGTGATTTTAGGTAATGTCACCCGGTAAACAGTAAAGTGCATTAAACGTGATTTAATATTTATGATAGATATAAGAAAATATGTGGAACTTACTAATTCAATGATCCAAAAACGCATACAAACATCTATTTAGAGTATCATTAGACGATTTAGCACTGCTAAAATGATACATTTATTGGGGTGTAAATTATGTAACAAACCATGTTTATTTGAGATATGTTTGTACCCGGCTTTAATTATAATAAAAGTCGTGGTTTGTAATATCATAATAACAAAAGATATTCATGTGAAATAGGTTATCTACAGCATGATAAAACTGTATAGTTTATAAAAGTATGATTAAAGAACATGTTTACAAGAATATACATGTAATAGTCATTCATGCTCGACAATTACTCATGCATTCTGGACAATAGATTTAAACTTTGTACAAGTCATAATATAAATGAAAGAAAATAAATGTTTTTTAAAAATAGTTTCAAGTTAATTTCCGTCAATATACTGCAATACGAAAACAATGGAATTCTATAATGTGACCAAATAAGAAATTAACCACTAGATCTTTATTGTTGGCGAAAATGCTTGAACCATTATCCTGAACCACAACAAAAGAGATAACAAAGAAAGAAGACATACTAATCACAGTAGTGGGTGTGTATATATACAGGTATACGAAGTAGAAGCATAAATGAGGCACTTCAGGCGTCAAAATTTGTAAAATTTCTGCTGATTCAGATAACCACTCCATTGTCCTGAACAAATAGCAGACATTTACATTGGAGCATCAACTCGGAATTTGATAATCCTTCGCGCTGTGACTTACAAAATCTTTGTTATAAATATTTTGTGTAATTTATATCATTATACATAGAATGGTTATTTTTACACATTTATAAGATAATATAATTGAGTGAAAAAGTCATCAACAGTGATCAATCACGTGTTATTATTATTTTACAAAAACAAGATAAATAAGTACACATGCCAACAACAGCAAGATATTGAATGGTGCACGTTGACTGGCGGCGGACGTATCCCTGCAGTATGTGTCTGTACATAGACACATTTCCCCTGTAAACTTAGCCACATTATAATTCTCAAATGTTGACGAAGCTTTATCAAGAATTTGTTTAATGACAGTTTTATCTTCGTTTATATTGTCCCTGTTATGACAGCCGTTAGAAGGGACGTTTGCAGGTTTGGAATGGTAACAACCTCTCTGATACATCTGTAAAGGTACATCTACAAATAAACAAAGTATGAATAGTATATTATCTACATCTGATGTAAATGAAGGAACTTTATTAAAATATCGGGAGAAAATTAAAGTGTCTATTAGATTATCAAGAACATCTTGCTTTTCTCGTATACATGTACAAGAGATAGAAGAAATGTTAATCCTATGTTATATATCTTGCCACATATGATGTGGGTGATGTTATAACTGAAGTTTGAAATAGATCCATTAAGAAATAAAGAATTTAAAATAAAGAATACCATTTTAAGGAAAATTCTAAGAAATTTATAGTAAAAAAAGATTTCACTGTTAAGAAAACTGGACGCGGTCAAGGTGAGTAGAACAGCTCTTATACTGTACATGTACATAGTCAAACTTAAAGTGATGTCCATAATCTCCAAACTGCCCTCTTTCAATATTTCAACTTGCATAAAAATATTTTCAGTACTTTTGGAGTAATCACGATCGAGCTGCCTGACAGACAGACGGACGGGCGGGACGATACTTATAAATGTGGCTACTTCATAGTTTTCTCTATTGTCCTTTTTTAGCCAAGTACAGGAAATTATCCACATAAAAAGCTTTCGGAATGAATAACGTCAAAGAAAAAGTACAATTGTTCACGTTGTCTTGGACAGACGATAGGGGTCTAATAAAACCATGACTGGTTTATAACATTTATCTTGAAAAGGTGCGTGTCAAATAAGGCCACATATCTATTTTAAAAAAAGATCCATTAAGCGGTTTCAAGAACACAAACTTGTGAACCCAATCAGTCTGAAAGGTTATTAGATAAGCATCATACATATTTCTCTAAAGCAGTTCAATTTGGATTGATAGAAAGACGGTCAGAAAACTTGTCAAGACTTATCAATTTCATTTAATTAAGGTACTAGTAATGGAAAAAGTGTACTCACTGATATCTGGAACTAAAGGTAGCGGTATTGTGATAGTGACAGAACCTTTGTAGTAACTACATCTTGCTACTTGTCCACTTGTCTCCTCACACGTCTCTTCCTTTATCTACAAACAACACAAATACTTCCATGAAACTAAATATAGTGTCTATCACATAGTTCTTACGAATACATGTAGCTCACGCCTTTAATATCAAAACCAACATCAAACACTGAGAATGCTCGTGTTCCTCCTTCAACAGTTTGTATTTACTCAGTATGTACAGTAATTGGAAACACTATTTGATTAGATATCAACCATTTAAAATGATCATTGCTTTAGGAGGATTGATCAAAAAGTTCTTGGCCCGATGTACTTCCGGTAGTCAGAGAACCCAACTAATGGTCTTACTTTACAGCCAATTATAGCCAAGAAAAAATGAAAATTTCAATAATTTGACCTTCAATGTCAAGGTCATTTATGAGTGAAGGTCAAGGTCTGAAGGTCTGTCTGATTATTTTCAAGGGCTATCCTTGTAGATTATTATGTCCAAGATTGAAGACATTCAATTCAAAAATAACAAAGTTACAGCCAATAATAGTCAAAGGAAAATGAAAATTTCAATAATTTGACCTTCAAAGTCAAGGTCATTTATGAGTGAATGTCAAGGTCTGTCTGGTTATTTTTAAGGGATATCCTTGAAGATTATTATGCTCAAGTTTGAAGACAATCCATTTAAAAATAACTAAGTTGCAGCCAATAACAGCAAGAACAAGCAACATTTGGACTTTTGACCTTGAAGGTCAAGCTCATTTATGGATGAATATCAAGGTTTGTGTGGTCTACTGAAAGGTCTTGTCCCAAGGGTTGTTGTGGCCAAGTATGAAGACAATACACCAAGAACTAAAAAAGTCTTGAAATGTCAAGCCTGGTCAGATTCTGGTCGTCAGTCAACTGTCTGGGGACCCATCTAGCGGAAACCTTTGAGATGCCATAGACATCAGTCAGTATTGCCTGAACTGAACGAAGCTTATACCCACTTCCCTAGCAATGCTTCGCAAGTCTCGCCTTCTGTCGCACATGACCAGATAGTGCACAGCTTCGGCAGTTTCATTGTTGGTGGCATCTTTTGCCCGCCATTCCGCTCTTCATCTCCAATGCTCTACCTGCCCCTCTTAAATTCAGCAGCCCATTTTTTCCAAGTGCTATAGGAAAGGGACTCCTTTCCAAGTGTATCCGTGAAGTCTTCATGGATTTCCTTGAGGTACAATATACGCCCGATTAAAAAAAATCTAAAGAAGGTATCGCGGAAAATATGCCATTTATTGCTTTTGTTTAAACATATTTATTTAAGCTCGATTGCGAAACAGGTTCTTGCAACTTATGTATATCACTTTCAAGTCTGCTTCCTGGAACCAACCAGTACTTGTGTCGTATGAAGAAACATGGTCGTGATGACCCAATTAGGGCTCGAACCCATGATCAACGGGTTGAGAGACAGACACCTTAACAACTAGGCAACCGTAAAAACTAGATATGTAGATGTTTTTAATTTTGAGTAAAGCCATTGAAAACGCACACTTTGTATAAGAGTCTCTTCACAACGAAGGCACTTGAAATATCGATTGTCGCCAAATAGACACCAAAATATCTTCAATTTATTCAGTAATAATGAAAAAATTCGCATGAAAAACGGTGATCCAAACATCGAAAGTAACAGATTTGACTACTTTTGAATAACACTCTCAATAATAAGGTCACTTCAGCGAAAATCAAATTTGACCTGTGTTTTGATATAACATACTTGCATGCCAAATATTAAAACAATATAAAGTTATCCTACGGAAATCATTTGTCTATGGACAAACGGACAAACAACACCCTACCATAACACGTACGCCCCGAAGAATCTTCTGGCGTACAAAAAGACATACAAGTAGTGTTCTAAATAATTTGGATAGTACTTTCTAAGGCTGCATAAATATTACATTAATCAGAAAGTCACTGATGGTATTGTCAATCTCTACACGTCATTATTTACGCTAATTTGTAATAGTTTGTTTCCGCTTCTTGTTAAACAATAGACTGATACTTGAACTACCACAAATATGACTGGATTCAACGAATATTGACCTTCCATTACATGACAAATCGACATATATTGGGGACCTACAATTTTTCTAATAAGTGCTCTCATCTAAAAATTTTTG